CAGAGGTTCGTGCCCTCTTCATGCAGCCTGTTGTGCCATTCGAGCAGCTCGCCGTCGCCAAGGATGACATGTTGCATCTTGACATCACTTCAGCGGCTTTCGATAAGGAGCTTGCTTTTTCGTGCAGGAGTTGGTGGACTCGGGTGCGGCAAAGGCCATTTCCGGCCTGGCGGCCAGCCAGGCCGGGCCTCTCCGGGCAGCGGACGCAGCAAAAGAAACGCTTATGCAAGTCTGGAGCTCTGAGGCAGCTTCGCTGATCAAGCGAACGAAGACTGGCTCAGGGTGCAAGGAGTGGGNNCCCCCCCCCCCCCCCCATCGCGAACCTAATAAAGCTGGCTGCACTTCTTGCAAGGAGGAGCTCAGCAAGGTCTGCGAGAAGCTCTCGAAGGACTGCAGTCCGAGTCTGCTTCGAATGTGGGGACGGGGTTCACGGCCATGTTTGTTGCAGATTGCGGACATCCAATCGAACGGTTTCGGCGAAACGCGCCTCCTCGTCCTCAAGGCTTCTCAGCAGCCTCTCGCCGCTGGACTCCTCAAAGCAGCAATGCAGCCGCCCAGGAAGGCAAGAAGCAGTCTTTGGATGCAGATGCCTCGAAGTCTCTTGAAGCTCTTCTAGGACCCAGGAGTTCTTTCATTCTGTGGGTCCTGAGGCATGCACGACGAATGCGAACGTGGGCATTCTGGTGGCGGCGCAGGCCCAGTAGAGATGTGCTCGCGGTGCCGTTGGCCTTGCGCCTCGGGCAGGATGGTGCTCGCCTCACCGCAAGGGAGCCCAGACAGGGACACTCTCTTCATGGGCCGAGCTCGTCTGTTGCCTGAGGTCGCCGGACAGGAGCCCACGCCGCTGAAAGCCGGAGAGCCTGGGCCCCAGCCGCTGCCACGGCCCTGCATCCACCTCGGGCCTCGGCCTTTTGCAGGCCTGTGGTCTTCGACGTCTGCTTGGAGGAGCGCCTGACCGGAGCGATCTCGGTGTGCTCTTCCCGGGGGGATGGCGCGCTTCTTTCGCTTGCTTGTGAGGCGAGCCTTCAGGCCGAGGAGAAGCTGCCAGTGCTCCTCGCTCAGGCCAGGGCGCTCGTCACTCTTGGCGACGACGATGAGCAGAGGTTTTGGTCAAGCAGAATAGTGAGAGCAGCGCAAGATTCAAGAGTTTGACACCATGTAGGATTCGGAATATGAGTGGATGCCATTCTGCTTAAGCACAGCCCACTGCAAAACCCCCGACACCCTCGACAAAAACAGTTCCTGCACTGTGGGGCCCGCGAGGCCTGGCACCCGGAGTTCGCAGCAGTCGAACGCACCACGGAGTTGCGGGCGAGCTTGGAGCCCAGGGAGTAGGGGGCTCTGTCTCTTGCGTCTGTCGGCCAGGCCCCCCCGCCGACCTGATGCCAGGGCCGGGCTACCCTCGGCGCAGTACAATAGCCAAACACAACCTGGGAACTCACAGGCTGAAGCTTAGGGTCCTTGTTAGTGTCCGTTTGTCATGGTCATTGTCGTCTTTATCGGTTGTTTGGCTCAGAGCGATCTCCTTCCCAGAAGGCCTACTAGGTACCCAGTAGCGGTCACTGGATTTCTTTGCGCCGAAGCTTTCCAAGCCTTTCCCTGTTTGAAGGCTCTTTTTTGAAAGGGCCTGGCATCCCGAAAACCAACCGCCGGATCATTGACGACGACAGGTACCAAAATCCAATCTGCCTCTTGAGTCGTTGATGCTGCGTTGATCTTCTCGCATCCCACTCCCGAATACTCCAAAGAGTCACTTGACCTACGCCGTCGCCCCACCCGGACAAGGGTGTCAAGCTTCGCATTTTGGCCTGTGTTGTGGTTAAACGAAGAGTGGCAGTAGTGATGCACGGCCTGTTTGATTTGTGTGGATGGGCATGATAATGCAATCCTCAGTCTAGCATATAGGTGTGTGCACAGAGCCTCTTGTTCATGCCTCCATTGCCGGGCCACATCTTTTGTCCTTGCAGGGGCGTCGGCTTTTGGTCTGTCCGAAGAGGAGGTGAAAGCAGTGACCAAGGCAGACTTGTGTCTTGCGGATGGCTGGGGCTCCCTTCAGGAGTGGGGTGTCTTGTGCAGATCGGATTTTGTAAAGTATGTGATTATGCGACCCACAGTTCTTGATAGGGTCAGACTGCATACGACATACCGAAACTGTGTCAGGTGGTCAACGACCACGCGAAGTCGGCGTGGGAAAAAAGCAGCCGCCCCAGCAGATTGGTCGCGACACCATGCCGAGGTCTGCAAAGGTGCTTCGAAGAGATTCAAGGGCAAACAATCATCCAAGAAGCCGAGGTGCCAAGCATTGGCGATCCACGTCTAGCGGCCTGGAGTCGATGAGGCAATTTTCTGGGGTGTTCAAGCGTGTTTCAGTTTCTGTGGGTGCAGCGCAGATGTCCATAAACATCCATAAATCATACTGTAGCTGCCATAGCTTCGTGATGCCCAGATGCCCAGGAAGGTCCTGCAGACCCTAGAGGAGGAGATGGTGCTTGCATCACTTGAGAAAGACTAAGAGTCCTGCCGCCTTGCAGGACAAAGCGAAAGCCAAGGAAGCAGCCGAAGAGGCTGCCATGACTGCATTTTTTTCCCTTGTCGGATATGTCTTTGCAATGCCGTCGGCAGATCTGAACTAAGAGGCCAAGCGGAAAGAGGACGAGGCCAACGACGAAGACCGGAAGCGAGCGCTAGAGGCCTCCATCTGCCTTGGCAATGCTGCTTCCATGTGCGTATTGAAATGCATCTGTTCTACCTGATGTTTCATCATAGAGATGTATGCAAACTGATTGAGTGTATACATATTCGTTTGCAGCGTAGATGTGTCTGTAATCACACTGTAATCCATCTATGTGCGTCATGTGCGTCTGCACGTCACCGAAGCCATCCGTGGCAAGATATGTGTATGTTTCTGGGATTGCTCCTCCGGAGCAATCCGGTTTGGACAGCCTGTCGACAAGCCCCTAGAGAGTTTGTGCTGTAATTAGCCACCTGAGCCGAAATTTTTCTGGGGCAGGAGCTCGAGCGAAAGCGCGCAGAGAGAAGGCGAAAGGAGGAAGAGGCCAGAATGAGCATGAGCTTAACTGATATCAGCCTCCATCTGTCGGAGGCTGCCGGTTTGAGAGGGTTTAAAGTTTAGATGTCCACGTCTTCTTGCTGTCCCAAGTCTTCCTTCAGGGAGTTGAAAGCAGCAACTCCACATCGTGCACAGACTTGCTCAGGCTGAAGCGAAACGGCTGGCGCGTAAGAAGCAACTAGAAGAGGACTGTCGTCCTCTCATCAAGCAAGTAGCCATGGCTTGTGACTCGAGGAGAGGGCGAAGCGAGACCCCTGGCTCCTCTTTCCAGAGGTCGTGGCGGCCGAGAAGAAGGTCGAGGCGACGAACTGCTGATTGCAAAGCGCAGGTCATTGCAGGATATCGACACAAACGCTACGTACCTTTGTCATGGGTCGGCTGCAGTGTCCTCAACAGCAGAATGTTGAACAACGTCAGACTTGTACTAATTCTAGCAATCTTAAGGAGGCATCCGTCAGGCATCTCACCTCTTGAGTGATTTTAACGTCTTTGTGGGCACTTGTCAGCAGCATGGACGCCCACCGCGCAAGACGCTTGGGCCCAGCCTTTCTGGTCCTGGCCGTGAGTGGAGGTGCCTTGCTGAGCTTCGTCGCGCCGCTCGGTGGCAGAACACAGGATCTGCGCTCTCCGAGCGCGAGCGGAGCGAGCGGAGCGAGAACACATGGAGTCACTGCTCGACCAGCCTTCAGCTGGGACGCGGACGAGCCTCCCCCCATCCCGGCTTCGCCGGAGGAGATGCTCCAGCAGGCTTCAGATGCCGTGATGCGAGCCTACCGAGACGGCAAGACACGGCAAGCAGTGCGGCTTCGCTTGGACCAGCTCTTTGACATGGAGTCCTTGTACGTCAAAGGCATTGAGGCGCAACGTTTCCGCCGTTTCCGCCGTTTCCCCCTCGCTCGTCGGCGGGCTGCTCTCGACTCCAGGCCTTGCAGCTCGCCACCGTCCCCTACATGGAGAGCTTTGCAAAGAAGCTCTGGGGCGGCGAGTACCTGAAAGAAATCAAGACGCCATGCTCAACTAAGCTCCAGACCAAAGAACGTCATCACATGTCAAGCAGACTCAATGGGTGACTCTCAGGACGTCAGTGGTGGACGAGCAGGCCCAAACTCAACATGAGCCTCCTGCAGTTTCTTGCTGACTTGCCTCCTAGAGTCTAGAGGCTGGCACTTTGATCTACCGCGAGTCTGAGAATGAGCTCCAAGACATGGCCGTCTTCTACCTCCCAGGCCAAAACGAGGAAGAATCCAACCACCAACCGTCGGGGTTTGCATCCCCAGAACATGCTAAACTATAGAGCCCGGAAGTTGTCTAAATATTCAGGATCTACACTGCTTGCAACTCGCAGTGCTACTTGCAGTATCCGAGGGCAGCGCTTGTTTGCCCATTTTCGGGAGCTTGGAAGAGTCAGGACATCACAACTAGTATAGCAGATATAGGGACATTGATCTGAGTGCAGAGCTCCAGGCGACGGGCACGGCGGTACTTGCTCAGTGGCATTATTTCGCGGGAGTGTCACGAAGAGTCAACAGCCGTATGTAGGCGCTTAAACGCGATGCGCGGTCTGGCTTTTGGTGCTTCCCTGAGGCCGCGACTTGATGGCGGAGGGCAAGACTCAGAACTTCATCCGCAAGATGCGCGACAGGCAGAGAAGGGGTGGGAGAGAAGAGCGATGCTCAGGTGCTCCGGTCTGCAGCTCATGGTTCGAGACTTGATGAGTCTGTGTAATTGGTCTCTGTTGTTGAATTTTTGATGGAGGGCCGTTGCCGCAAGCTTTCGTCGGGCAGGCTCGTGCTCCTCCTGAACACGGAGCCTCTTGACTTCAAAGCTTCCGAGGTACAGAACCTGCCAAGCCTGTGCGTCGCCACCAAAGCTCCCGACATGCTTTCGGGCGTCAGAAATGCCCCACCCACCTCGGTGTCCGATAGTGCTGCTTTGTTACCTTTGGGTCGTTTGTGCTTCGGAAGAGGATGACTGGGCCAAGCCGAGGAATGCACAGAGCGACTTCCGAGTCGACTACAAGGGCATGGAGTGGATGGATTACACGACCTTCGGCGAGCAGCTGCTGTGCTGAGATAGTGTGTCGATCTTTTTAGAATAATGAGAGGCATGATCCTGTTGCCCGGTCCTCGCTTACGAGGCTTTGCGAGATGTTCAGCGAGCAGTCCTACTACTACAGCTACGGCCCTTTCGAGTCGTACCGGCCCGAGGCTCTGCAAAGCATGCCTTCGGCTACATCCCGCAATATCCCCAAGGTGGCAGTTGACCATCTTCCGAGCATATCCTTACAACTGGGAGATCTACATTGAGGACTTGGAGTACAACACTGCCGCGGCCCAAGGTTAGTGCTGTCTCATCTGTTGTCCGTGAGACCATAACATTCATCAGATGTGCCGTCGCCTCGAGCAAAGGTGAAGATTTTCGACAGCCCCTACAAGCCCACCTCCAACCAGGTCGTAGCCAGGATTGAGCAGTACGAGGCAAAGAACGAAATCGCACCATACAAGAAGATCAGCAAGCTCATGAAGGCAGCTTGACTTCACACCTCGCATGCAGTGTCAGTTCTGTTGCAGGCCTACTTAGGAAGCAAGATCTACCCAGCGCTAATTTAATTGAATTTTGGTCGGGAAGGGAGCTGGGGCGAAGAGACTACGAATAAAGTCCAGCGTAAATCGCATGACAAGATCCCAGAGCCCTCACAGCAGATGGATCATACAAGCAGAGCCAAAGGATGCTGTTGTCGTCTCCTTTGCGGCTTCATGTAAGCCTGTCGGGAAGAAGAAGAAGTAGTAGTAGTAGTAGTAGTAGTAGTAGCTAGTACTAGTAGTAGTAGTACTAGTAGTAGTAGTGGTTGTTGTTGTTGTTGCTGCTGTTGTTGTTCAGCGGCAGCAGCAGGAGGTGATGTTGTAGGAGGAGGCAGAGGAGGAGCAGAAGGAGAAGCAGCAAAGCTGAAGCCAAGTCAACTCATGCGATTGTGACTATGTTATGCTGGCCACAGCCTTATCACATTGCTTGCAACACACATCCAAAAAGGCATGGATCAGCAGCTGACTGCATCCCACCGAAGAATCGCCAAGAAAAACTTCGCTGCATACGTGCTTGCCCGCCTTCCGCAGAGTCTCAATCATATCGACCAGCTTCGACTCGCAGAACCCCACGAAGCCTCTACGAACCCCACAACCCTTCGCCGAAGTTCGTCGAAGGCGTTTCGGGTAAACGAAGTTCGTTGAAGGCGTGGCTCTTACCCGCCGGCCGTTCCAACGTTCTCGGGCTTCCCTCGTTTTGATGGAGAATGGCGTCAGAGCCTGCGCTCACAGCTGCCAACGTAATAACTCGTCCGACAGTGCTTTACTAATGCTACTTCATGTTCGTAGTAGTCATCACCATCCTCCTTGCCACAGGTGTTATCGTCCAGGCAACTGAAGCCTGCCACAGAAAGCTGTCAGTCTTGGTAAGCACTTCTTCACTCTGCTTGTCAAGATAGCGGCAGTCAGACCGACAATGATGAGTCTTTGGACATTGGCGGTGACAGTGCGCATCAGACGGTGTACCAATCAGACGGTTTTTGCCGGGCCCCCCTTGTAAGGACACCATGCGCCAAGAGGAGGCCAGCGAGGAGGCCGAGCCTGGTTGGCGCTCCTCTGCGAGCCCCGAGGACTGGGCGCATCTGATGCAGGGTCGTTTCGGGGAAAACTGGGGTTCCTGTATCACGCGTATGCTGCATCGCATTGCGAGCCTCAGCATCTATTGCTGTAGACTTTGTAGGTTAGAGAGTTCAGGGTTCCGGTTTGGATGCTTTTGAAGCCAAGGATTTTTTCACGCTCTGGTGCAAACCGTAGCCGACTTGACGACATGGCAGATCCACTTGACGGGAGCTGACTGATGAAAGCAGGACAGTCCGAGGCAGTCTGGGATCTGTAGAACTTGGCTTGATCTTGGTGAGCGGATGTTGGCTGCGGCACAAATGGCCCAACATGGACAAGGATGTTGCTAACATGTTTCGTGAAACCGAAACGCAGCTGTCAGGTGTGCAAAAGGGGCATTCCTTATCCCTTGGAAACGCAAAGCACGGAACACTGAATGGCTACGACATGCCTGATGCATGCAAGACATGAATGCAAACCATTCGAGGGCTGTGCGAGCCAACCCTACATGCTGTCCTAGCGTTGAAGTGATAGGAGATCATGGAGCGGCAGAAGCAACTGGAGGAGCGGGCCAAGGAGGAGGCAGCCGGGAGTACCGGCACGGCAGTGTGTGTTAAAGATGTCAGGGCAACAGGCAGGGTTTATATTCGGGTTGCAGCCGGCATGTCTTGATTGATGTTTTCCACTACTTCAGTTATCGTTGGAACGAGCAGACTGTGCTGAGGATCATTCGATGTTAACACGCAAGACTGGCACGGGTCGTTGGCGTCCTCCTCATCGTCTTGAGAGTTGCAATGCTGGAAGCAGCAATACCAGCAAACGCAACAACATTGTGGCTGCTGTTTCAATGCCAACAATAGTCTTATCGTCAGGACTTTGTCCTTGGTTCACCTTAGCTTCCTTGACACCTCAGCCCTTCGGCTTTTGGACCACCCCCTCCGGCAAAGGCGAAAAAGCTTGAGACGAATGAGGCGTGAGCTGACTTACGCCGAGGCTGCAGTTTTGCTGCAGGCTAATCCGAGAGCAGCTCAGCAAGAGTGGCTGAGCCGCGGAATGTTTTCTTGCCCCGCTTTGCGGAGCCAACTCTGTTCTGTTTCTTTCAACTTGCCCTGTGACCTCCTGGACATCTCGCTTCCGCATAGCTATTCAACTTTGATAATGTCCATGGCGGAGAGGGCACAGGTACTCAGACAGGAGCTGACGCCAGTTTGGTGTCCTAGCTTTGTCATTTTCCTGCAAGATTTTCGAACTGCTGTCCAGGGTCTTCCAACTACAGGACTGCAGGACCAAGCGCGCGACCAGCGCAGACTGTCCAGAACTTCTGCACATGCTGAAAGAAACGCAGTGCTGCCTGTGCAGAAGATGCCGGTGGCGCCTGCTAGCAGGGTTGGCACAGTTGCACACCATCTGTTTCACTTGCCTGCTTGTCCCAGGACCTCAAAGAGCAGAGGCGAGATGCCAATGCCAAGCTGGAGCCCCTTGCCCAGACGTGCGTTCTGTCTCCTGGGGGCCGATAAGCCGGTGTGAGGTATGTAGACTTTCACTGAACAACCGTTTATGTGCTGCTGGATCACAGTCGCAATCCTCCTGCGCAAAGGTTTGACTTGTCGAACTCCCTGACGAAGGCTGGCCCAGCTCATGAATGTCGCAGTATGGTTTGTCGAGCCCAACACAAGCAGCCCTGACATCGAGGGTGGGTTCGAAAGTCTCGTAAGCTCAGGGAAGTGAAGTGCTGAGCGCCAGGAAATCTCCGCGGCAGAGCGAGCTCTGAAATCCGCGACAAAGAAAGCCAAGAAGGCGGCTGGGAGATCCTGGGTTCGGACGTTGCTGCATTCCGAGGGAGACGGCATCCGATCGAGGCCTACAAGAAAGGCGAAACTCCTAGCGCCGCAGACGTCTCAAAGAAGGCTGGGACTGCCCGCAAAGCTCAGGCTTTCACTTTGAAGTCAATGCAGGACGCAGGCGGCGAGGAAGCCGAGAAGGCCAAGGATAAGACCAAAGAGCTGCAGGCGGAGCTGCAGGAGCTCACGTGCATCTTCAAGTTGCAAGTTGCGATCTGAAAGTGACCGGATTGACCGCCATGCTCCTTGAGGATGTGAAGAAGAGGAAGGCGGAGGCAAGCAAGGTATTCCCTCGCAGCCATCACAAGCTTCATGCCCGTCTAATTGTGGAAGATGCTTCCTGTGCTTGCTGATGCGTGCTGCTGGATTCATTCTGAAAATTCTGCTCAAGCTTGCGCTTGTGTGACGAATACTTTGGTTGTCGGCAGCCCGGGGCTCCACATGTAAGGCAGAGGGCGGACAGAGGCTCACGAGGTGCGAAACATCTGACAGGCTGATGAACTGTGAAGGCCTGAGGATCATCCTTCGGGGTTTCTGTCAAAGCATCCAAGCTCAGCACAATCTCAGAGGGCTTCTCCGGGTTTCCGAGCCGCGTAGCCGCGTGGCAGCACCAGTGGCGGGCAGACCACATCCAGGAAGCCGTCTGTCCGACTGTGTGAGATCGACGGCTCGTTTGAGCAGGAATCGCTGCCTCGTCCGGGGCACCATGAAGCTGCGATCCGAGACGGGGCGTAGTTTCTCTTCCGGTTTGCTGCTCACTGTGACGTCTTCCTTGAGAAGGTACCGGTTCGACTTGTATGTGCGATATACTGTTGAGGCCCGGGGCCTGTGTTTGAGAGATATATACGTGTGATTTCGTGATAGATCCTGATAGATCGACCTGCCCAACCTGATCTCGTCAATGGACGCCTTGAACGGTGTCGCCAACCGGGACCTGCCTCGCTTCCTTCATCTCGCAGATTCCGTGCTCCCTGCACCAAACACATCCTGTTAACACGACGCGCGCAGGAGTTTGCCTATATTCTCAGGCCTCGTTCTCAGCTGAACTTGCTTGCATGCCGTGGTGGCAACACCTGCGCAAAAAGGTGCTTTAGCTAAGGGATTGTGGATATAAGTTTTTGGCCTTTTCAGACGTGGTCAGGGAGTTCACCAAACTCCAGATGTACTGCTGCAGCGGGCCTCCCACATCCGGCAGTGCACCAAGCGCATTCATTGCAGCTTTCTGCGTCTCGGAGTCCTCCAGTACAGACCCTCAGTACAAGTAGCAAAGCTCTCAGGATGGAGCAGCCAGGTCATTGGCCGGCTGCAGAGCGACCAGGACTTGGCCCAGCGACCTCTCATAATAACATAATATGAGAGTTCGGATTACGTGAACCGGTGTTCTGCAAACTATTGCCTCCTCCAGGTACATGTCCGCTTTGCCGGCTGGAGGGCCGGTGTTCGAGGTGACTGCCGCATTGTGATCACTGATGTCTGCTGTAGAGTCCGGAAGGTGCACATGCCGGACGGCTTTGACGCCGGCGCCTGGTACCAGAGGCAGATCGGCAGATCCCATCTGCCCCGGAGTAATCCTAACACCGCCTAGACTTGACCCTAACACCCTGTTAATCCTGAAGCCTCTAGACGCAGGAACTGCAATATCATCTAGAGCTACCTTGGAAACCCCAATTAACGCACCAAGCCTGAAGCCCTGCAAACCCTGAACCTGTTCGCAGTAACATCCAGAACTACCAGACCCACATCCAGAAGCTCACGGACCAGGTCAACAACCTGAGGCCATGTCTTCATCAGGGCTGAAAGCTCCGACTCTACTATTACTACGCGTGGGGCAACAGGGTTTGCACAGGGTTTTGCATAAAGGTGCCTGACAGGGACTTTGGAGTGTTTGTGTGTTTTAAAGGGGCTTCTAAAAGCAGTACAGATTCAACGGATGTGGGGTTTTTTAGATGCTTTTAGAGTTGACTCTACACGCCTGGGCGGCATCTGGGGTTCTGCTACAACGCCACATCGGCTTATGCCTCGACATGTTTGTCCAATGTGTCATTCGGATGAAATCCAGTGTGAAGTCAGTTCTTATGCAGCTGCATCTGTACCCTAAGCCCTTAAACCCTAAAAACCCTTAAACCCCCCTTGAACCCTAAACCCTGACCTTAAAAACCTAAAAACCCTTCAACCCCCTTGAACCCTGAACCTGTTCAAAAACCCCAAAAGCCCTAAAAACCCTGGTAAATTCTTAAACACCCCTTGAACCCTAAACCTGCAAAACTCTAAACCCTTAACACCCCTTGAACCCCAAAAACCCTGTTATAAAACCCCTGTTTCCTTTAAAAACTGGGTGTTTTTTCTTCCCTTGCCAGGCAGCAAGGCCAGGGCCTTCAGCAGGCCCACGGCTGGGGCTGTGCGAGCGCTGCTCTTTTGTGTGCCTCAGTGGGTTTGGAGCGCATGTTATGGCTTGTCTGTAGGGCTTGTAGGGTTTAGGGTTCAAGGGGGTTTCGGGGTTTAGGGGTTTAGGGTTTAAGGGTTTTTAGGGTTTTTAGGGTTTAGGGTTTTGGGGGTTATCCGGGGTTTTCTGGTTGTGCCATCTTTCGAGGTTTATTGCACATGTGCTCCAGGGCTACATGCTACTGCAGCAAGTCGCGCCGATCAGCGACGACCAGGCACCATCAAGATGGGTGCTTCTGCTTTCCACATGGCTGTAGTGGGCAATGGTTCCCTGAAGGTGTATACCGTCGTCCATAAGTACGGGCAAGGAGTCAACCCAGCGTGAGCTTCTCACTGTGGCCGTGCACCGTTCATTCATCGGAGTCGCAGCTTGTTCCTGGTCTCTGTCAGGGTCACGGCCATGACGGGCAGTCCAGAGGATCTCTTCTCCAACCAGCAGGGCTTGCGTGTCTTGTCGTCCCAGGCTTACACACGACCCCTTCCGAGATTTCAAACCTGTCTAGAAGTGTCCACGACATTGCTATGAGGTATTGGGGCTCAGATCCGGGCCGAATGCAGGACCGCCGAGATATGCATGGTCGCGGGTTTTTGGCTTTGTCTTTCTGTTCTTCTTGGTCATCGACCAGGATGTCTACCAAACCGGAGGTTTTCCGCCAGTGATCCATGCCATGCAGCAGTTTCCTGAGGACACACGATGGCTTGAGCAGTGTGTGGCGAGATGTCAACTTTGTCTCGTCACAGGATGCAGGCGTTGGGCGGTATGGGGTGCAGCCGCCTCCTTTGATGGCCATCGGAGTTCTATAGGACATGGCCCATGGTGGTTCCCCAGCCCGAAGAACCAAGGTTCCTGTCACATGCCGCCAACACCAGCACCGAGGCATCCTGTGGCATGGCACTTTTTGCCAGAGGTTTCTTGTGACTCCTGGAGCCGCTTGTTCCCTCAGTACATGCGGGAGCTTCATCATCTTGGAAGCGTGCCGATAGTAATCAGGCCGGGGCCTCGGATTCGGCTCCCGCCACGTACGGGAGATCTCGCTTGGCTTGGGACCTGTGGCCGAGGCAGATGAATCAGTTCCCGCAGGACAACTTCCTGCAGCAGTGCGACCCTCAATCGACTGACAGCCTAAGGGCCTGCACTTCCGTCTCCGAGTATACACTGCAAGTGCCTTCTGCTGCGCCCTGGCCTTTCGACCTGGATCTTCTGTCTATATTCTGCTCAGTCCATAGAACTTACAGACAGAACTATGTGTGTGTGTGTTTATATATCATGGATAGGTTACATATAGTAGCACACATGAATGCACGACACTCTTCATGGTGCGTGCCCTATACCATGTCCGCGGTCTGCCAGGTATGGTTGCCAATATCTTTGCTCCATGGCTCAGATCCCGGAAGTGCGTGACGAAATTCTGAAGGCTCCGCGATGCCGGCACCAGTCTTATGTGGAATCGAGGCATCCTGAAAGATCAAAACGCATATATGATGGAGTAAGTACCGCCGAAATGGTACACTGTTGATAGAGATAGTCGCATCAGACAACACCTGTACATCTACACATGCACATCTAGCTGTCTGTCTATCGACCTATCTATCTATCTATCTATCTATCTATCTGCCTATGTATCTGTCGATCTGTCCTTCTCGCCGCTGCTTTCTCTCTTTCTTGCTCTCTGTCGATCTATCGGTCTTTCAATCTTTCTATCTCTCTGTCTATCCATCCAGCTGGCTTGATATCTTTAGCTGTTTGTCTCTATTCACCTATCTATCATCTATCTATCTAGCGATCTATCTATCGATCTACTTATACTTATATGATGTATACGTCTATCTATCTATCTATCTATCTATCTATCTATCTATCTTATCTATCTAATCTATCTATCTATCTATCCATCCATCTATCTATCTATCTATCTATCTATCTATCTATCTATCTATGGGTGTGTGTGTGTGTGTGTGCATCTTTATGTGTGTACATGTCTGCCCTGCTTTCTACACATGCGTAGATAGAAACACAGTAGAAAGACGGATCAGATGTATCACACATGTACACAGATGATTTGTCCTCTCTAGAAAGTCTTCCTTGTACAACATCGTCGCACACATGCTTAACCATATATAGATATTTACATGGCTACAGGATGCCCATTTTTGCTGTACTTCTCCGCTGCCGGCTCGAAGGGGGATGGGCAGAGCATGGAGGTTATTCTCGGCGCATGGCAGCGCCTAATTACAAAGGCTGCCCTTCAAAACAGTGTTCCAGACTGAACTCGCAGGCTTCTTGGATACGAATATTGCATCGTGGCATACAACGACTAGATGAAGCACGTGCGGCAAACCAGTGGCATCCGTTGCCAACTCAGAGCCTCGCGCATGGCTCGGAGAACTCATTCGAGCATTTCGAGCGGTGCAGGGCGAGGCACTCTGCTCATGCTACTTCCTGAGAGCTGCGTTTTGACCAGCATGGGCTGCCACGGCAGGTGGCTGCTGATGGTTGAAGATGAGCCGGTAGTGGCTTCGAGCAAGTGGTTTCATTTCTTGGCTGGCGGAGGGTTTTGGTACACATCATTGAAGGGAGAGCGAATGTGATGAAATCTTACGGTCTCAGGCACGAACGCCAAAGTATGCAAGCTTCAGCCCAAGCAAGAAGGCGGAAGATGAAACGAAAGCGGCGACCTCGGCAAACTGTGTGCGCAATATGTAGACACTTTCAACGCCTCGGTTTCTTGTCCGCGAGATGCTTCAGCGAGATCCAGGTTGGCACTGTCGATGTCAGCTACGTGGACCCCTTGTCCCAGAAGGTTTCCAGCAAAGATGCTCGGAGTATCGGTCACTGCTTTGAGTCGGAACTGAAGGGCACATATCGATAACTTTCTTGATGGACAGTACTGTATGCACCCTGCGATTGATGGATAGACGGCCCAGGAAGTTTATGTAGATCCGGAAACGTGGTCGATGCGTGCCAACACCATGTGCCATCCCCAGTTAACGGCGGCCGAGCCTGCACGGTCCATTCGATTGTGCAGCAGGCGTTTCCTCATCAGCGCCGACCTTGTGAACCTTGTGACCGAGTCACAAATGGTGCGACGGAAGCGCTTCAGGCGCCGCGCGGAGACTCCCCGAGGGTGTGCGAGAGCCTCGGCGAGAGCTTGGGAAATTGCAGGAAGGCCAAGAAGGTTATGGAGGAGACGCGGCTGGCGTTCCTGGTGGATCTGTGGAAGCTCCGAGGGCCGCGACCTGGGATTCTTTACTCGAAGGATGTGACCTTGCGGCCCTGAAAAGGGTTCCGTTGCCTTCAGGTTGGTTGGCAGAGTGCATCGAGCCGTTGAGGTCGAAGAGGCCTGGGACTTTGAAACTGAGTGCTCGTGTGCCTCTGCAGTCCTGGGCGTGCTTTGCCAGGAGCTTGTGGCAGCTGCTCTCGACGAGCCCTGCTGGAAGCTCGTCTTTTTGTGGGTGGCCGGAGCTGTGGAGAAGGCAAGACCTCCACCGTCTTGCCCCACTGTGCAGGTCCCGTTCGCTTCTTCGTCCCCGAGATGTACTTCGACGATGCTTGGCGAAAGGGAGAGACGGATTGAGACTGCTGGTAAAAGCTTCTTGTAGTTAAGCGCGACCACGCCAAGGATCACACGCTGGACTGCATCACCAAAGCAGGGGCAGGTTTCTCGGTCTGCTGCTCAGAGCTATTTGCGGAGACCTGCATGAAGACAAGGAGCTTTCTCAATTGTTGCATCGAAGCTGCTCGCCTAGGGCTATCTTCTCGAAGAGATCCGGATCTTGCAAGAGCGATTGGATCTCCTTGGCGGAAAGAACTGGCAGGACTCTGAGAAGTCCCTGATGTCTCTTGCAAGAGACAGCCGTGATTCGGGAACAGTTTCATTCGGGACTTCCGGCACTTCAGGTTCTCGCATTACAGCTAAGCAATCGAGGCTGCACACGTTTCTAGGCAACAGTGGCCTCGGACAAACCGGACAGGTGTCAACCGAGACTTGACACTCACAGCAGCGTTCAGGGTAGTTTCTGACTGCGGCAGTGTACCTGACAGGTGTCGAAGCATCGTTGGCAGGGCAACGAAACCTGCCATCACCAGCAGAAGCCTACGAAAGCATCCAGGCCATGAGCCAAAACGTCCGAAATGCACTGGTAAGAAGGGCGAAGACGACGACTCGCCAGCAGCCTTCCAAACTTGCCATCGCAATCGGCATTGGTATGCTATAAGGCGCAGCCCTTTTATTCTGCTTGTAGCCGCTGCTCCTTCTTGTCGATGTCTTTGTGGCTATGCGGCTATCCTCTTTTTTTTGTGTGTGCATGTGTGTGTGTGTGTGTCTGCTGCACGCCTTCTTGGCGATGTGTTTGGCCCTGCCCCGTTTGCGTAGGCTGCTGCTCCTTCCCGGCAACGCGTTTGCCCCTATCCTGTTTGTGTAGGCTGCTGCTCCCTCTTGTCGATGCATCTGCCCATGAAGTTTGCCCCTTCTCTGTTTGCATACATGGCTTCTCCCTCTTGCCGATGTGTTTGCGACTGTTCGCCCCTTTCTAATTCGTTTCGACTGCTGCTGGTTGCCGTTGCGTTTGGACACAACATTGAGAGGGGGGCAGGGTTCGTCTCATCTGTTTGCCCCTATCCTATTCGCGTCGGCTGCTGCTGGTGAGTGCATGCCTTTCTCGTGTGACCCGTCTTGCCGATGTTTTCGCCCTTATCCATCCATTATCCTGTGGGCTGGCGCTGGTAGTTTGTCGCGGCTGGCACTCCTTCTACCGATGTGTCTGCCTTCGTCATTGGTGAGTTGCAGTGGTGACTGCTCTTGGCAGGGGAAATAGATACAAGGACTCCTGCACAAAGTAATAAGAAAGGCGCAGGTTTTTGGAGTCGTGCAGACTTTGTGACGATGTTCCTGTCGTCATGCCTGTGCTTTGTGCCGAGGCGGAACCTGCTGGCCTATGCTTTAAAGTACATGAAGACCACTGAGATCGGCGAGATTGTGGTGGATGCATTTCCGGACAGAGCTGCACAGAGCACCGTCGATCGACACTCCCCGGCTCCGTAGCTGTAGCCGCTGTAGCCTCAAGGCACTACTAGTTACTAGCATGCAGAAATAGTTTGTCTGCTCGGAGAGCTGTGCAGGACGTTTCCACCCGTCGGACCGTCGAAAATGCGGCTCCAGCCTCGGAGAGAGAAAGATATCAAGGATAGGGTGAAGCTTTGCGGCCTTGCGCTCAGATTACCCGTGGTTTGTGGGACCAGATCGAGGAGCCGTGGACTCAGCGAGTGGAGCTGAAGCGGTTTCCATGTGGCCCGGACATCTTTCTAGTCATGACAAGTCAGCAGCATCGACGGCTTCCCAAGAGAAGACGCTGAGCCGGTCAGCTCGGAGGTTGCAGCCGGTGGTGGACGACTTGGAGGCCGAAATGGTGCAGATGTGACGGCCTCGATCTGCTCCAAAGTGCCACCTTGCTGGGCTCCTGCGACTAAGTGCTGAGGAGACTTTTGGAGGATTGCGACGCCCGAGTCGAGGCAGTCCAGGAGGCCGGCCTTGTGTAGGTAGAAAGGATCTTGCGTCCCAATCTTGGGAGCCGGGGAGCAGCCGAGATCAGAACCAACGGCCAACAACAGGATTAAGGTTGGGAGGTGCTCAAACAGTCCATGAATTCGAAGACAGCTTGCTAAGGCTTGAGTAGAACTTGCAGAATCCAAAACCACAACGGCACACTACAATTGTCGACAGAATCCACGGACCTTCAGCAGGCTTTGGTTCTTGGATTGTGCAGGTTGGCGTTGGGTGTTGTCGAACATCGTGAGTGAGTGTACGGTGTGTCTGTGGGTGCGCACGTGCGTGTGGATGTGCATGCAGAGACATACCCATGAACATAATATCAATTTTGTCATGCGCTGGTACTGAGCAGCGAGGACATCGCCAGGAAGCTGGCAGCCATCAGCTCCTTCAATGAGTGCTAGCCTGAGCCGTCGGATGAGCGCCGGTTTGTGGCGTGCATTGATCGGGGTAGACATGGATCCGCTAGACACCTGACGATATCGCGGTTGTATTTTGAACTACATTACATGCATAACATGTCGTTTTGTGTATATCACGGTTCGTGTTGCGTGGTATGTGTATACACATAGGCGGCGCAAACAGAGGCGTGCCTACTTGGAAACTTAAAGACAGTAAATGGCACCACATGCAGGCGACACGTGACAGCGGTGACCAGGCTTCAGGACAGCCGGAAAAGAAAATCCGATGTGCTCAAGTCTGTGTACACCGATGCGAAGATGTGCTCGGCAGGAGCCAGATCCGGTGATTCCTCCGGACTCTGCGTCTGAGCTCGGCACTGAGAGCCAAAGTCACGACCATCAGCCTAGAGTCTTTTGCAGTGTGGTATTCCTGGTCTGTTGTGCCCCTGCTTGCAGCCTTGCCCTCAAGGATCGAAGAAGAAGAAGACGAGGCGCCATACTCCTAACCTTAGTTGGTACCGACATCGTCGGGTCCCTCGCCGCCGTTGCGAGAGGAATCGGAATCAGATCCTGACGACGAGAGCGCCACTTCCAGTGTTGCCGATGCCTGGGATGAAGAAGAGGTCCGAGACAGTACACTCGTACACATGTGTACACATAGTTTCCATGTCTGTTTGTCGAGCGCAGAACAGGAGGAGGATAACGGCACGAAGACCATGGGACACCACCATTGGCGTGCCACTGCAACAGTTTTGGTAAGATTATCAGCCTCGTACACGAAGTCTTTCCAGACTTCTATAATTCTACGAAGGAAGAACATGACAGACAAACACACATCCGAACTTCAGAAAGTGCAAGTGATATGTTCCACGCTGATTCACCCTGGAATCGTTGCAGTGAGATGTGTGACCTCGCCGTGGTTTGCAGGAGATTCGAAAGTTCATCGCTGCGCAGGGGCAACCTCCTTCCAAGGCCTGCAGACTCATGGGTTTACATGGGTCTAGGGTTTATGGGGTTTAAGGATGTTATGGGTGAAAGGAATGTCTGAATTACACCTGTGGTGCTTTGCTGCCGTATTGACCTGCGGTGCCATATGGCATAGCGCATCAACGGGCATCTTCTTTCCTGCAGGCTGAGCTGAAGAAGCTGCGGAAGTCTGTTGCGCAAGACACGAAGCCACCCGTCTTATCTGGGTTCGCTTGTGTTGTGGTCGTGTACCCTGAAGTCTGTGTCCGAAAGCAGAAGGATCGCGAAGTTGAAGTCGCAGAAGGAGTCACGCCAGCAGGACATGGAGGGACAGAAGAGAGCACGGGTGAAGAGGCAGTCTGCCGATGACTTGTCTTCGGTATCAGCTTCCCTGTAAATAGCAGTTGACCGCCCTGGCGCAGTCTGCTGGCCAAGTGGGAGAAGAGCGCCAACGAGGCGCAGGAAGAGGTGAAGGAGCTGGATCTGCCCTTGCAACGGGCAGAGCACAAGACAAACCAGGCGCGACTGCTGATCCACGGAGCGGCAAAACTTCCATTGCCTGTCATTTTTTCTAGATTCTAAATTCTAGATCATGTATATTTTTTTTGGAAGTCCATGGCCGGGTGATTCCGACGTGTTGTTTGCTTGTAACAATCTGCTTCATCACTGACAGCTTTGCTCCTGAGCCTGTCCCGTGTCTGACGGAGATGAAGAAACAGAAGTCTCCCGAAGCCTATATAGGCCTCTAAACCCCTTTATGCCCACAATTGCCCACCCAAAGCCTGGCTGTTAGAAGGCCCTAGAAGCTTTGGCAGGAGATCGACGAGGAGGTTCTCAAAGAGGCGGAAGCGGCCAAAGCCATGGAAGCCGAGGCGGAGACTCTGGCACAAGAGGCCTCGGCAGCGACGGAGAAAGCGCAGGAGCTCACGGCCCAGGACGGGTCTCTGAAGTGTACATGCGCGCACACAGGCATCTTCTGTGAGCATCTTATTTGCGCACACCGGGTCGGCATAGTGACTTTGCCAAGACGATCGCCTTCACAGGCTGTCGCTTGTCGTGATTCTTGTCAGATGGCAGGTGGAGGAGCAGACTGCGGCGGCCGAGCAGGAGAAGGCGGAGGTGACAGAGCTGGTCCAGGAGAAGGCGAGCCTTCCTCCACCGGATCCTCGGAGTGGACTCCTGCGGAGGCTGGGAGAGGAACAGGTGGAGCTCATGAAGCAGACGAAGGTTTACAAAGAGAAAGTCCTTCAAATCAAGGGCCGACTCCGGCTCTTGAAGATGGAGCTGCGGGAGCTCTACCGCATGCTCGGTTGGGCCTGGGAGGACTCGGACAGTGACGACGACGGCGAAGAGAAGCCTTACTGGCTTCGAAAGCGCCTTGCAAAGAAGACAGCCACAGAGAAGAGACCCTTCAACGAGCACCACTTCCTCAACCAGGAGGACAAAGTCATGGACAGGAGAATCAAGCGGATGGCTAGCCAACGGAAGCTGAAGGACACCAGCCCACGGCGTGCATATCGAAATCTGAGTACAGTTTTACAAGGCATTCTGTACTGCATTCACTCTATGTCCCACAGCATGTTGGCGCTGCTTCGAACACACCGGTGCTAGGCGCCTACAGCAACACCGGAGCTAGTGATCATGAGGCAGTCACTCTTTCGCACACGTCTCGGTCTCGTTTTTGATCGGATGAAGCCTGCTTTGCCAGGACACCAACACCATCATGTCCCAGCTGCAGGCGGCGCGCCGAACGTGCAAAGCAAAGGACCTGAAACGCACGCAGAGCATGGGCGATTCGCTGACAGAGAGCAGCGTGTTGCCCTTCAAAGTGCCAGAGCAAAAGAGATCCTTGGAGCACCGGGCTTCAGAGGAGGCACCGGAGGAGCGGGACGGTCAACGCTCCGCACCGCGCGCCTCGGCCGCCTCGGGTTCTCAGGGAGGCTCCGGCGCCCGACAGCTGCGGCAGCTGCGGGAGATCTTGGAGTCGCAATTGCGGACGTGTGCAGAGTGCTTCCGGGCCTTGCTTGGCGAGGGTAGCTCCGAAGGGCTAGCAGAGCTGCGGCCGCGTCTTGACCGGCTTCTGGAATTGCAGCTCGGGCTTGGGAAGGATGAGCTTAACGAGGATCAGTCTGAGTACGCCGAGCAGTTGTGCAGAGCGGAGGACAGCTTCGCAGCTTTGCAGGGCCTGATTGGTGAAGCTGTTGGCTACGGCTCCTCGGAGCTGCGCCAGTCACTGGATGTTGGTGAGCTTCGACGGCGCCTCTCGGATATCCGCGCCAGTCAGCGCCAGCTGCAACACGAGCTGCGGAAGCTCGCGCAGCCAAGGTGGGGACACCAATTCCAAGTCAGCATGCTGGAATGTTATCAGTGGAATGTTCTGAGCATTGCAGAAGTTGGCTAGAATTGGAATCAGATCGGCATTCTTGTGTCTTGAGGCGCTCAGTATCCACCCCGTTTGAGACCGAGGCACCGACGGTCTCCAGTCAAATGGTTTCTACCATCTACGACGTAGAGCAATGACAGCAACTTCAGTGTGCACGCCCAGCAGCCTTGAAGAGCTGTCCTGCTCGCAGTTCCTGCTGTCCAGCTCGCGCATGTCGAGCCACAGCATGTTGCCTCCACCTCGGAATTGTGAAGGAAAACACGCACCGTGAGAAACAGGACACGATGCCCCGAGGTCAATGAACGAAGCCCCTCCCTCGCAAGATGGTGATGCCTCGCTGGGGCATCCCTGGCACAAGCATTGCTCGTTTTTCGCATGCACGGGAGAGTGCCAACTTCATCCCGGCAGGTTCAAAGAGCCCGGGGTCGGAGGTCGGGTGCCCGGTTTTGACTTCTGCACCGGCGGGGTTGTGCCTTGCCGTGCCGACACAGGCAATGGGAAGTTGCAGGACCTCAGAAGGCCACGGGACCGGGCTCTCCATGTCCAATTCTTCTACCATCAGAATGACACTAGTACCGAAAGTTGTGCTAGTGTAATGACAACAACAATCAGAGCCTTCATGAAGCCTCGTGGCCTCGAGGAAGACTGGACGAAGCGGCACTCGTCAAGGAAGACCCGAGGCCACGAGCAGTTCCTTTTCCTTCCTGGCCCTGCACGACGCTCTGCGTTTTGAAGAGAGGCGGTTGACTTTGGCTTTCGCCCGGATGGTGCGGGCGAGGAGCTTGCGAATGTACTGCATGGACTCTGGACAGCACTTCACACGGCGTGCGAAAGCCAGGAGTCTGTGGAAAGTTGGTCTCTTTTCAAGGCCATGACCTGGGAGCATCAGCTGAGAAACGAGCCGCCAACCTTTGCTTGTAGTGCGTCTCTGGAGCGTCAGGTCAGCAAGGCCGCGGGAGATGCTGGAGGAGCCAGTTCTTTGGCACTGCTCTCCGAAGACCCACACTCCGTTGGTTGTGTTTCGTTTCTGATCACGGGCATTGGGTATGTTATGCCATGATGTCAAGTCAAGGGCGTCGATGTCTTCTGATGATGAGGATTTTGATGCTGAATATCATCATGAACATGAGCATCATGGTGATGAGGATGAGTATAAGGATGGGGACGATGGGCAATGACGACCATTAAGACGGCGATGACGAAAACTGATGGTGATGGGTATGAAGAAGAAGATCATCATTCTCATCACCATCATCATCATCATCGTCAGTCCCAATACTGTCGATTGTTCGCAAGCCCTGGGATGTGGGCAAACTCAATGCTCTCAGGAGCCACGGTGGGTGACCCATCAGCGACAGGCAAAGGGAGGAGGGATGGCTGATCATGATCCAAAGCAACCAGTACAGTAGCTAATGACTAGTGCTGCCGATTACATGTCCATTTTTAGTCTTCAAACATCCGCGGTTGTCGATTAACGCTCGAATTCAAACATTATGCTGACATCAGGCTCGCTTTCCGGCACTCGCCCGGGGCGCGTTATCCGGCCACCAGGCCAGCAGACGACTGTCGTTCAGTCTGATTAATATACAGTGTGTGTATATATACAATATCCATGTAATGTGTGTATGTATGTGTATATATAGATACATAGACTAGACCGATAGATAGATAGATAGATAGATAGATAGACATGTAGATAGATCTGTACATGGATATGGATTCAGATCTAGCTCCATGGGCAGTGGCAAGAAAATGGGCTAGGAGCCCGCCCAGCGAAACGTCGCGTGACTGCTTTGGAGAGACCTTGTAAAATTCCCGCTACGAAGCCAGATAAATTAGGTGAAGAACAATGTGCCAATAGCAATGCCCCAATCCGCGATTGCAGTTGAAGTCTTTGATGGATAAATGTCAGAGGCGCTTCACACCTTGAAACTCGTGAACTTGAACTATCTCCCTAGCCTTTCTTTACATGTCTCTTTTGCATACCTACTTCTTCGATAGTTGCCGAGATGTCCACCCAATAGCGTCCGAAAGCCGAATGACACCAGTTGACGCCCTGTGAGGCGACCGAAACCGAGCCCAGGAGTCCAAGATGTCCAGGCACAGCCCTTGTTGGTAACTCCTAAGCTCCTAGTTTAGGGTTTATCAGAAGGGGATTGTTTTCGGGGGATGAGGGCTTCAGGGTTTGCAGCGTCATCGGTTTGGGAATGGCTGAGGAGCAGCGCTTCTGTAGACCTCCCCTGGTTCCCTGGCATGACTTGCGGAAGGCTCCAGAACGTGGCTTTGTACTGCGACTTCAGCGACTACATGTCGCAGCTGCAGCAGTCTGCCACGGAGCACCGACTTGCCACGTTTTCTCTACCTTGCCTGACTGGGGAAAAACCCTGCTGAGAGCAGAGGAGATGTGGCACAGCGCTTCATCCCCGGAGCTTGGGAAGAAGGGTCCCCGACTCTCTACGGGACTCCATAGAGACTTCTGCTTGGCGAAAGTTGGACCGCTCTACCAAGGTCCAAGCCTTCCTGACTTAGTCAAAACAAAAGCCCCGGAGGCTGGATGCCACGGCAGTGACATGTCAGCAGCCGCGCTTTCGCGTTTCAGGAGCTGTCCCTGGCTGTTGCATCATCCACAGGCCGATCATGTCTGTGCTGAAGGGCTGTCTCTTGCCCATTCGCCGCAGGCAAGGGCCGCTGGAAGTTTTCAAACTGCTATGGCGGTCGCAAAAAGGCAGGGGGGGCGGGCTCTTCGAAGCTTCTGCGATTTTTCCACAGTAGCCATCCTTGCGCGAGGCTCCGCCGGATGCGGCTTGGACGACCAGTGGGTGGTAGCATGAAGGTAAATGACAAGCTCGTGTTGCATCCTGCTGATTCGCTCTGTTCTACGCGCCAACGGGATATTGGAAGACGGAAAGTGTTCAGCAATGCCCAGCATCAGCGGGGTAGAGTTCGCACGATGCAGCAAAGCCAGGACCCTAAAGGGGTCTGTTTCACGGCGAATTCGTTTCACTTACATAGCATACATGAGTTGGAGTTTAGGTGCATGGACTACCATTACACACAATGTTGACACACGCCTCTGCATGTGCCAGACGAGCCTATGTAGGACCTATAAAGGAGTAGGTTGGTATTAGGATTGGCGCCAGGGGCAAAAGGCATGTTTCACTGTTGGATATAGCTTCCCGAGGTTGGAGATGCAGTTTCAGTCTCTGAACTACCGTACGTGTCCATGTTGACAGGGTGGTGGCATCAGGCCACTGATCGCAGCGATGAACCACTTTGCACAGGAAATGCGAGCTACGTGCCAGCTCCAATGTGTTGTGACTTGGTTGTAACAGCAGGACGCAGTGATCCACCGCTACGCATTGTCTGCGTTGTCTCCGCTCGCTCTCCGGAAGCATGTGGTGACGCAGTGCTGAGTCGGTTGCATCTTATTGCGACCGAGGCATACATTCCGGAGTATGCGTCGCAGGCTATGGACAATTTGACTGCACAGAGGTTTCGTTGCGGGGATCCGAACGAGTCCAGATGCCTTGGCAGATCATCGACGCGGGCGGAGTGTTGGCTGTGAAGAACACGTTGCAGTATCATTCTGGCGATCCCCAGGCACCTTGCAGCTTTTATCATCCACGAACCGGCATCGCTGCGCGCAGCATGTGCAGCGAGTGGTGAATGTAGTCTGTGATTACTGCACATGGGCGCTCGTGTCTGCCTGTCCCCAGGTTGCAATCAGTGCGCTGCAGATGATAAACGAGTTGGCCAAGCACGAGGGCTGCAAGGCTGGGCCTGGCGCTGGCCGGTACTGGCGGCGATGCGGCTAAGTACGACGCTACTTATGTTATATAGTATATAGTGTGACAGAAACTATTGTTTTTTTCTTAACTTGTGCTTGGATCTTCGCAGCTAGCCAGGCTTGAAGTTGGATTGTTTTTCTTTGAAGCTGCATGTCGGGATCTGGATACTCAGAAAGTATACCAGCGCTGCGTCCTTTCTTGCACCAGTGCTCAGAGTTCGCAGAAGCCTCGGCTGTGGCTCGACCAGTGCCAGGATGCTTTGGTGTCAGCTGGCCTCATTCCAGTACTTCTTCAAGTCATGCAGGCATGCGACCAATATCCTATGGAGTGCAAAGTGGAGCTTGTACTTGGCGAGGCCCACGCCGGCAACCCTCATGTCCAAGCGCTTGGACTCAAATGCCTGGGCACACAGAGCAAAGTGGAGAGTTCTGTGGCGTATACCTCCATTGCACACAGGCCTTGCCACACTCTGTGGCAACTCGACGTCCATTCAGGCACACCACGACTTTCCTTGCAAGAAGTGACAAGAGAGACGCCCGGAGCTAGGCCCAAAGAGTCGCTTTTGCGCCAGGCTGGCCTCTTCCAGGCACAGGGAATTCCTGCGATCCTCAATGCCATCCGTTCGGCTGCCGACACCAGGCACAACCGGCACAACCTGTCCTTGCACGGTTGCGAGAACCAGCTTAGTTCACATGACATAGCAGCTTAGCATCTCAGGGCCACCGACGAAGGAACTGTGGGCCTGATCACAGAGGGGGTGTTGCCTGCATGTTTCTGGGCAGTCGGGGCCAGTTTCGAAGGCTCAGATTTGCGTATGCGGCTGCTGAGATCATCACGCGTATCGATGGATCCCTACCGACCGGCAGCTTGCATAGAGTTTCCTCTTGGTGGAACGTGGCAGTCTTGTGTTGTGGTTTACACATCACAGTTAGCTCGGCATGCAGCTTGCAGTACGTACTGCGCTTCCGGTGGAGTCGTCCTCATCCCCGGAGTTAAAGGATCCTCTTGGACCTTGTACAGCTGTGCCAAAGCGGAGATTTACCCCGCTTTTGTGTTAACATGTAGACGGCTGTCTAACCCCCTTTGACCCCGAGCCTGCTTGACATGCGCACAGCGGTACGTGCCAAAACGGAAATTTGCACCGATAGGCAACTGGTGCATCTTGTGTGCTGCCGTATACATCAAGCATGCCAAAGCAAAAATGTAATATCGCTAAGGAGCTCTCGGGTCCAAGGGACCGCAAATAGTGGCGCACAGCTGCAGTATATATGCTGGATTGATTCGATTGCCATAGTCGCTACAATCTGGAAAAGGTACCACATGGCATTATGAATTTGTTTTTGAGTCCCCAACTTCGCTCCGAACGCCGCAACAGCAACTTGGAATCTGTGCTGGGGTGTGAAGGGCCTAGTTCAGCAGTCCAGCATGCATACCAACAAAGCACGATGTCATCATCATGCAGGCTGGGATCTTTTCCGCAGCACTTGCTGCTAGCTGTGTTTCATTCAGCATGTCTTCCGGTAGCCAAGCGGTGCGCACATCGGATGAGACGGACCTTTGCCACCGTAGTCGCACTTGAGGTGACTTAGAAAAATGAAATCTGTCATGGCGCTGTCACCGTGCATGCTATTTTTGCTTGTTGTTGCTTCGCATTGTGTTTTCGTTTGGGGTCACCGAGAGTGCAGCTGGTAGGAGAACAATGGGCACTGCAGAAGCTTCAAGATGTCTTCAATCTTTGCATTTCTGCTTGACACTTGCAACCCGAAGCAGGTTCTGTATGAAACGTATGGCATCGACTTTGCACGGCATTGTCGTCATCATCATCACCAGCATCAGCATCATCAGAATCATCAACGCATCATATTCATCATGCACTGCCTCGCGCCCGCGGTCAACCTGCTCTCCGCTGCTAGATGAACCTGCTGGCTGCCATCTCGACGAACCAGGAGCCGCGCGCCCGATGTAAGACCGTTTAGATCTTGTCTGAGTGAAGAGGGCGCCAGTGGGGCCAAAGGTGCCGTCCGCAAATCATACAGTATGGCGGCATCGAGATCACTCTGCAGGCTCTGGTGGCCTGGTGAGGGCCTGGTGCTTCGTTGTTCATGTCCTGATGCGGCCATGTCCGGAATGATGGGAGGTCATGAGATTTTATATCGATTTCCCCTTGATCCAGGACTGCTTTCACGCAGGGTGTGTGCCGAAGGCCTTTCTAAGCCTTCAATTGTGAACTTGGAGCTCAGGAACACTGCCTTCGGATCCTCTCAGGCCTCACGCTTTGGCCGGAGGCTGGACGGAATTTGCTCTTAGGTAGAATGCTGCGGGGATCTGACTTTGGGAGAACCCGAGGCAGCCGCCAAGCTTCTGCAGGCCAGTCCCACGAGAAGAATCAGCTGGGAAGCAGCATATTCGTAATCGAGACGACTGCAGAGGCTGGCTACATCGATTGCATCATTGCCGCCATGACAAAGTATCCCGAGACGCAGGGTGTTCAGGCCGGGATTGGTTTAATCCTGCTTGCGTCGCGCACAGCCCCTGTCTCGAACGCGATCAGATGAGTGGTGCCTACGCTCTGGGCATGGTGGCTGGTTCGGACGATGCCAAGGCTGCGCGCAGTCGGGCAAGTCTTGGTTCACCACTGGACCTGCTGACTAGTCTGGTCTGAATCCAGGTGGCCGTCATCAATGCCAAAGGCATTGAAGCTACCTGTCAGCACACAACATTGTTTTTCTCAGTGCAACTTCAGAAAAGAAAGCTTCTGCTTCTTTTCAGGCACTGGTGACTGCTATGTACTGGCATCCGATGGACCAACATGTAAACGAGCAGGCAGTCACGGGGACTGCTTCTGTGCATTGCATAGCCGCCGTTCATGCTAGCTATGAGACTTTGAGGCATGCGCGGCTCTGGCCATCCTGTCCGCACCTTACCGTGGGCTAGCTGGGAACGATTACAGTGACAGTGTCTTGTTGAAGATCGCTGATGATTTCAATGCGGAAAGGTGTGAGGCAGACCGTGGCAAGGCGATCTTGGCCAATGCCGTTGCAGGCATCGAGCTTCAACGGCATTGTGCCGTTTGTATGCATGTATTTGGATTAGACGTAAGCATAGCTTTCTTCGATCGGCCTCTCTGCGTCGTCGGGCTCTGAAGAGGCGAAGAGAAGATGCCGTCTCCGGAGGTCTCTCTGGCATCCTTGGGAAGCTGTGCTTGCTCTCCTGAGCTTTGCATTGAGCACGGAAGCCGGTACTCTGGAATGCAAACCTGTTCGACAGAGCTTGTGACACGGCTCGTCCATTTCAGTGTCGTTCGTGGGGCTTTCCAGGTCATAACCAATTCCATGCGGAACATCTACACAATTGCGAATCCCGTGAAGCAGATGGTCAAGGCTGCGCGACCTGCTGCCACAAACTTGCCCGTGCACATTGGAAAATTGCAACCACTAGGTTTCCTTGCGCATGTGCTCGGGCATTGCTCTGGCTCAAAGGCTCCTTGGGAAGCCTGCGAAGATCGAACGGACATGCAAAACACGAAACCCCCACAACACAAGATGTAGCCGGTGCTGGGACGATCTGACAGATTCATGGAGTCGCATCTGGAGTAAGTTTAGTACCGACAGCAGAGCATTCGTGCACCGAGTTCCATATTCTTCTGGCCGAGCTGCTACTGCTCTCAAGAGTATGGAAGGCGATGCCCTGCCCTCGGATTGAGGGGTTGTACCGGGGAAGCCGGGGACGCGAGCTGCTCATCCGTCTCAGGACTGTTCGCGCGCATACATGATGTGCTGTGGTGCTCGCCGGGGGCATTGGCCATTCTTCGCGGACTCAGAGTCGACGCTATCGAGAGTCCTCAGGTTCGCACTACCGCGAAGAGTACGTTGAAGACCGGGTGCCCTTGATGACTTCGTCCTGGACGGAAGCAGAGGCGCATGCGGCGCATGGCTGTGACAGTCTTGAGAGCAACATGCCCTCTGACATCCTCTGCCTCTCTCAGGTGGACGGAGGGACGTCACGAGTACGTTTGGGCTTAGTCCCCAGCCCACCAGGCACTGAGTCACAGCAATACCGACATGCGATAAAGCCGATGAAGTCTAGGAACATTATCGCCTGTCTTGGCAGGCTCGCCGGATGCGGTGGCTCAGAGGCCGGCGCAGCAAAAAATCCTCCCAAAAGATCTCGCGTAACCTCTGTGCCCAGCGCCGAAGGCTCCCGAGGCTGAAGGCCTCTGGAGCGGCCTGGAATGCACCGCAGGCGCCCCGGGACGCGGGGGCCGGGGCCGGTGTCGGATTTCTCCAGCCGGGACGTACCAGTCAGCTGATGACAGACTTAATATCAGTCATATATGTTTCTTGTGGACAGATATCTGTTGGCGAAGATCAGAACTGGATGCATCCTAGCTAGCGCCATCCAAGTGCCAATGCCAGATGCCTCGGCTGCGGCGCGGTAGGTCCACTCCCTGCATCTCGAGGTTGAAGGGTTCTCCCCCGGATAGCCCGAGCCACAGCACGTGGCGTGTCTATTGATGCGTAAGTTGTGAGCCAATGAGGCTTTGAAAGCTCGGGCATGGGCACATTGTCTTAGTCAGATGGCTCCATTCAACATTTGCGGCTGCAATTTTCGACCAATCAAGCTGGTTGACTCGCTAGAAAATTCAGCGCCTTCACCGCATTTTTAATTCTATTCGGCTACAGTTATGTCGAGGCAAAGGCATGCAAAACAAGTGGGGGTTGGCAACTTACCGTGATCGGCCCAGCTTGGGCCTCTCACCCGAGGCCGTGCATCGCAGCGGCAAAAATGCAAAGAAACCTTTCAGTCTGCAATCCTTTTCATGATTTGTATGAGTATACTTGTGGAACAGGCCAGTCACAACATGTCACGACCCGCCTTGGCAGGTGCCCCGCATGCCGGAGCTTCGGAGCATTGTGAAGCCGCCGCTGACCCGACTGCCTTCGTTGCACCCAGCATTTCGCATTCGCTTTGCATTCTCCCCTTCAGACAATTCGCATCGAGGGCAAGCGACGAGGCGAAACCGGCCGCCGCCCCAAAGCCGAGTCTTGCAAGGTAGTGCCCGTTGTGTTGTGCAATGTTGTTGTGGACTTCTTGCGGCAGTCCCCCGCACCGAAGTTCGGTGTTGACAATTCGTACTATACTTCGTAGGCCTTTCTGTGGTGGGAAGCAGAGAGCCGCTGAGAAATAGCAATCTCTGGCTTATAGGCCTGCGGTATATGTCTATATATGTCTGCTCGAAAGGCTTCCGAAAAAGCAGAAACGAAGAATGCAAGATAACAACCGACTGCAAACCCTCGCGCAACAGGGGTTTAATAAATGGCACTAAGGCAGCAGGTCGTGGCAAAAGGGCAACCCAAAATGTGTACAAAGGGAGCACACCGTTTAAAAGGGATTGGTGAAGTTGAGCGAAGGGAGTTTAGGGAGCAAACCGTTCGCAAGCGATTAGTGAATATTTAGAGAGATATTGCTCAGAGCATTTGAAGCAGATGCTTGAAATGGAGAGAGGCCAACAAACCTTTCGATATGGACGTCGGACGGCTACGCTTAGTGCCATTAGAGCTTGGAGCAAACCTATGGAATGCATCCGACCGGGGGTGTTGCATTGTCCATGAAATCCACCGTTCGACAACAATTTAAGAAAAGGGGAACGCGGTGAAGAAGTTGAGCGAGCGAACCAAATCGGTTTAATCTGGCTGGACAAGTTGAGCGAGTGGAGCGAACCGTTTCGAAATGCAGGAGCGAAGTTGAGAGATGAAAAAAGGACCTTAGAGTTAAATGTTTGTACAACGTTCGGGAGGAACTACAGGGGCAAGCCGTTCGGGATAACTTGGAGGATTTGAGAGGACACCTTCCTGAGCTTTAGAAGGTAGCGAAATCCGCTTCGAAGTGGACACAGAGAGAAGAGTTTTCATGGTGGAAGTGCGCAGCCCAGGCTCGGAGTCCTTGCCGCGGCAGGGGGACCCATCCCCCCGCACCCTTGGCAACGGCCTAAAAGACCCTGCATCGCCTCGGAAAGCTGGCAGAGCTCGCAGAAGCCCCCCGTTTTTCGGCGAGGCTAGATCCATGCAGCCGCTTCAATCGCCCGATTTCTTGGACTGTCGATCCGGAGTCTCTCCAGGCCAAGAGACCTTAGGGGCTGCAGTCCACCGGCTAGATTCCTGCTTCCAGCAGCGGAACAACGTCAGCTTCTCATTGACACAGGTCCAAGCATGATGGCAAAGGAGTTCGATTTGCCCGACCCACAGAAAGTGCTGCGAGAAATAAACCCTAAAGCCAGTTGTCGTCCCTTTGCGGCACAGGATGACTCCGACTTCCCTGTGTACCGTTGTTGAAACGGACCTTCGCCAGACCCCGCAAAGAGCCAGGCTTGCTGCGGGGAGTCCTTCCTCTATAGTCCTGCCTCTTTCCTGATGTTCTTTTCAATGGTTTTCTTTAACCTTTTCTCTTCCTTCCTCTGCCCCTCCCCCCACGACAAGAGCCAAGCCTCCCTGCTTCGCCAGGTTTCCGTTGGAAGAGCTACCAATGCGAACACCGGAGTCTATTGTGACGGAGGTGCTGCCTCCGTGGCCGCTTCTGGTCTGGGGTGCGTGAAACAAAGAGATGGCGGGATGGGACAGGTCTCAGTGCATGGTCTCGTGAAAAGAGGTCGCCGCAGAAGTGGTGCATCCTCTTGAGATAACGTGGGGCGCAGAGCTTCTTCTCCGGTGCGTTCCCTCGTTTGATTGGTTTGCCCACTTGAGGCCTATTTCCTGGAGAGTGTGAGACTTGGAATTCGATGCAGAAGAAGCAGCTTCAGGCCAATCTCCAAGGAATTCCTTAGTGCCCTGGGTAGCTGCTGTGAGTGGAAGCAAGGGGGAAAGGCTTCCTGATGGCGGTTGCGCTCGGAAGCTGCTTTAATTGCTCCTTGGAGCGTGGTGTGCACAAATTGACAAAGGAACTGCGATGGTGCTTGAAGCACCTGCGGCGAAGCATGTATATGTCCCGGCTCTCTCAGGAACATGTCTTTTCACATGTTGCAGAGAGGGCCGAGTTATTCTCTAGCAGAATCTGTCGCTTGCCTTAGCAGTGTGGGGGGGCCCTGGAATGCATCCAGGAGCGAAGCCCACAAGGGCCGGTGCTGCAAAGGCGTCTGCTGGAAGTCCGATATGAAAGTGTCTCCGCAGTGACTGTGGCCTTGGCCTCCTCGGATGCTCGGACCTTCAGAGAGAATCTTTTTCACGACACTCTCGCTGGCCGGCCCTCTCTCTCTCTCTCTCTCTCGCCGAACCTGCCCAGCTCGTGGCTATCGCTGGCCTGGACGAAACAATGAGAGCAGGCCTCATCCAGGCGCGCGCGTGTGGGTCTAGAGATCGGATTGACCAACGCAGAGGCAGATTCATATTGTCGACAGGCCTTCACCATCAACGGCATTGTCCAAGTGCTGCAGGTTGCGGTGAAGAGCTGCTGCGATCTGCTCGGATACATCTTTAAGGCTGCATCAGCCAGGTTCATGCGGAGAATTCCGCGGTTGTGTTCTATGCACTCAAGGCTCGCTGGAATTGCTCCGGCGGAGAGTACGTACACTGGCACGACACCCATATAATTAAGTCGCTGAGGCCACGGTGACTTTGGGCTATCCGCATCCGCCGCCGGAGCCTGCCCGCCGGCTTTTCGGATCCCCGACGTGACTCTCTCTCCGCCTTCCTTTTGATCCAGCCGACGTCGGCCAGGATGATTCACATCTGCGAAAGCCTCCTGGATCTTGTCCTGGCTGCGCCTGGGATGGCACGGAGGGGAGGCCTTCTTTCAATCTCTCTCTTTTGGGTGACTGCCGGCCAGATGCGCTTCATAAGGTCATGCGGGCCTTCCCAGCAGAAGCAAGGATCCAGGAGTGGCATCTCGTGCTCCATATCGACACGAGATATGTCCAAAGTGTCTCTGTCTTCGTCAGGAGACTGGCTGTGAGGCCAGACCGGGGTGCCACGAACAGCTTATGTCATCTAAGAGCCTGCTTCTTCTGAATGTTCTCAGTTCCGATCCGTTGCCGCAGCTCGGAAGTCACAAGCACTGGATTCCTGGCTGGGCATCAGGTCTTGTCGATACTGGCTCGTGTGGAGGCCATGCAGGACTGGAGTCGCCAGAAGAACTGAATCTTGCGGCCTTTGCACGTCTGCAATGCTGGATGCAGAGCAGCCCTGACAAGCACATCCTTGCACAAAGGACCGCATCATCACAAAGGGAGGAATTGCCGGGACCTTTTCCAGAAGCACTATAGGATCCATTTCCCAGCCGGCGCGTGGTATGCAAGGCCTTGATTTGCACGGCACTGAAGTCTTTCCAAGCAGACACCGGCATCCAGAGAAAAGCCGGGGCCTCTGTGGCCAAGACTGAGTCCCCCGAACTCTGACGACCATCCTGTTGTTCTTAAGGGCTGCCGGGCTTTCGCCAACCTTGGCGAGTTCCAGACCTCCCGGGAAGCCATCCGCCGCGAGGAGACTCTCCGAGAACAGTGGCAAGTGCATCTAGCTGAATCTAGCAAGAAGACCAGGGCGGCATCGAGCTCATCATCCTCGGGATGAAGTACCACGTCTCCCATCCAGAGGCTGCCTGAAAGTGCCGGCAAGGAAAGCCGGTTGAATCCGGTGCTTAACAGGTGGGAGAGCAGGGCTGCGCCGCGATAGCAAACCTAGCCTTGGACGAGGCATGGTCTCTCATGCAGTGGATATTTTCGAATTTAGCAGATAGCTGCAATCACGAGTTCAATGGGGATGTGGCTGTCGAGGTTCAGAAGAACATCACTATGATGATGTTGATGATTGTCGTCATGATCATGACCGTGACCATACAAGCCCGATGACCGTGGCAGTGCTGATCACGATGATGGATTGATCAGATGCCAGCTGACAGTTTAATTCATTGCGCTCAGGATGTTTCCAACTTGAACAGATGCAGTGCAGTGTTCTTACTTGACGATTCCGTTGCGCTGCTCGTATGTTGCGCACGAAACTAGAAACTAGTCCAAAAGGTGTCAGCGGTTGTGTTCGTGCCGGTGTTGTTGCCCCCACATCCTCTTCAACCTGGTGAAATGCCACCGGACTTTTAGCTTGACAGTTTATCGTAGCGATCAGGAAATTGGCCAGTTGGATCGAATGACAGCATTTGTTCGTGACAATTTAGTGATAGGTTTCGTGACAGTACCGTTGAGCCCGAAGCTCTTCAAGATTCTTATGCCTGCGGCCGTTTCGTGACAGTTTTGTTGTGCTTAGGGTTTTTCTCATGTCATGAGAGGCAGCGTTCAGCGGTCGGTTTTCGTCAAGGTTTTGTTGCGCTCAGGATGTTGAAAAATTCGATCAGGCGCGAGGAATTTGATCGTGACAGTTTCGTTGCCCCGGATAGCTTGAATTCGATCAGATGCAGCAAGTTTGCTCGTTACATCCGTGCACCCGGGAGCATTAGACATTTTCGTTTCACTTAGGATATTTCCGATGTGACAAGATGCAGCAGCTTCTTTTCGTGACAGTTTCGCTGAGCCCACGATAGGGTAGCGATAGTGGCGGTGATGAAAATCCCGACCAGGGTGGTATTCATTGCATAAGTATTGGTGGCGATGTCGATTGTCGTGATGAGCGTGATGCACAAATGAGCATTGCGCAGATGATTCTATGTTCACGGCCCGTGGCGGCTTGGCTCAGACTGCAGGCGAATCGCACTCACATTGCTCAGAACGAGGGTGTGAATGCGGACTGGGCCTTGTCGTGTTTTGTGCCATATCCCGTCCATCTCATCCTCGCGGTAAGGTCCTAGCAGGTTTGCGACTTCATCAGGCACATCCTGGGATCCAGGCATCTCACTGTGTAGTGAGTCGACGTTGTGCAGCCCTCTGCCTTTGAAAGGCCTTTGGCCTGGGTGCCCTTGGAAACCTGGCCACCGCAGAGGCACTTCTGAATCTGCATCCTGCGGAGGTTCAAGAGCGAGAGAGACTGTTGCTACTGCAGCTCCCTGACAAGGACAACTGTGCTGTGATCCTGAAAGCCGGAGCAGTAGACATGGTGCGAGTCCCTGAATCGACTTAGTCCTTTCTTCTGCTCAGTTGGGTGATTGAAAAGGTCATGCACGCCATGGCTTCCTGGACAGGCCCAACGCTGCCATGGAGTTCTACCCTAAACCCTAAAACCCTAAGCCCCTGTTGCGCCGGGTTTTGTCATCTCTCGGGGTGTGTCCTTTCCTCGGCAGATGAACCTCGGGTGCAGCATTTCGCATGCCTGGCCTTGTCCAACTTCGCCCACGACGATGCCAACAAGGTTTGTTGGGTGAATTCTGGCTCTAGGGAGGCGCTTTTTACATCGTTTTTGCTGAGGTTGCCATCGGCCGGGCGGGTGGCAACAAGAAGATCATCTCCTCCATGCAGAGGTTCCAGGGAAGTCAAGCCATGAGAGAGGAAGACATGTGTCTGTCTGCTGTGGTTTAGGCACTCGGACCATGCCGGTGTGCAGGACCTGATCCCTTTCTTACGATTTGGCTATTCGTCTCTTTCTTGCATCATTTGCAGAACATGACGCTTCGTCAGGAGCAGGCTTGTGGTGCTCTGGCCAACCTTGGTGTCAACCAGCAGAACATGGTTTGCCTGGCAAGTTTTCACGATCTCTACGATTGCCTCCAGTCTTTCTACTTCGCACTTTTGACTTCCCACATGGCCAGCCACTGTTCTCTTCAGATTGGTGACTACTACAGCTACTGCAGAATGTCATGACAGGTTGAGATCGCGCAGTTGAGCGGGATTGCCCCGGACCTACTTACAGACCAATGCGTGCGGCACCATCATCTGCCCATGCCAGCAGTTGGTTAAGGAGCTGGTCATTTCCTCGCTGAAAAAGTTCCCCACAGAGCCGGGCGTGCAGGCCTCGCACCTGCGCTACTTCGTTTGGTGTCGCTGCGTGCAGCAAGAAAGTTCAGTGCTTCGAGCATCAATGGTTCATGATCAGGAGAATGGATGCTTCGCACTCTCAAAGTTCCTTACGATGCCAAACGAGCCAGGGCGTCAGCAACGTGGCATCAATGGCTTTTTGACGATCGTGTGCCACCAGGTCCTACCGTCAAAGGATGAAGCAAGCAGATGCGGAGGCTGGTTCTCTGTGATGCACATACATCATAGTATACTATACTATACTATACTATACTATAGTTAATTATCATATGATATTATATGATACTGTATGAGATTGTACACTTGCGTGGAAGCAGTACCGTTGAGACAGAAGTGCGCTGCACCTCTCAGCGGCCACTTGGCTCCAGATGACTCGTTGCATAGGGAAGGGGCTTGGGCTCAGCAAAGGGGTCTGCTCCTCAGATTGTTGAAAGCCTTCACATTCCTAAACAGCTTTTCGACTTTTCGATAGACTGAGAGAGCAGACCTGACAAAATATCTGCAGTACTATAGTACTAGTGCCGAAAGCTTCCTGTGCCGAGGATCAGCGAGATCCGCCCTGCTAGACCCAGGCTCGATCAAGCAGGCTGGAGCCTTCCGTTTCTTGCAAAGCGAGGACCAGTGACTCTTCTCAAGGCTTGAAGGCCTTCCTCACTCGATTTTTAGATCCTTTGAACTGGGGGCCATGGCTTCTGTAGAGCCGCGGAGGCTCTGAAGTTTCGGATGCAGCCGAGTGAGCGATGGCGGGCGATGCTGGAGATCGGTGCGGCTCAGGCATGACATGATCTGGTAGGAGCTGGTAGGAGCAAAAGATGCCACGTGATATGATACCTTTGCAGCCCAGGCTGCGGGGCACGAGACCGACCCGCAGATGCTGCAGATTTCCTACCGCAAAGAACTCGGATACCATCCGGCAAAGCTGCTTCTGCTTGTGCACAGAGATCTCCAGTTCAAGCTGCAAGCTCTCACTGAGGCAAGCACGACCAAGAAAAGGTGGAGACCGAAATTGTTTACGAGGACGCTCGCTTGGTCGGCGGGAGAAGAGATGCTCGAAACAGACGGAACTATAGGAAGACCACCCGACCAACCGTGAACCTACCCATTTTGTTATTCAAGTTTCAGTACCGTCCAACCGGCGTGCTCCTTTGTTCAAAGTCTCTTGTCCCTTCGAGCGGTGTGCTCCTCTCCAGTCTGTTGTGCAGGCTGGCGCATGCCGTTCGACTGTGATTAGAGAGATCGTAGGAGAGGGTAGTTAGGATGCGGTTCAGGCGACTTCAGACAGGGGACAGCAGGACTAAGCTAAAATAGTTGTCATTGAGGGGAGCCAGCCGCTCGAAATGGACTTGAGGAGCTGCGGTTGTGGGGAGGCGGGGCCAGCACACCGTTCAAAAAGAGACTGAGGAAGTTGAGAGAGGGGAACAAAGTGTCCTAAAGGGATGTGTGACATTTGAGGGATGCAAATCGGTCGGAAAGGATTCAAGAAGTTGTCAAGCAACCTTTCGACAGAGACCAGAGTATACACGTTGAGTTGATAGACGTCCACCACATGTTCGCAACGGCCCAGGGCCCAGAGGGCAACAAAGAATTCAAACAGGGAACGTGAGAGAGTTGAGATTACCGTTTCCAATGCGACTAGAGATAGAGAAGCAAACCGTTCAGCAGTGACTGGAGAACTTGAGCATCTGTCGGACGAACCAAACCGTTCGAAAGGGACGAGAGAAGGGAGGCAAGCCGCTCGAAAAGAACTAGTCAAAGAGAAGCGGGAGCAAACCTCGGAAGAGAAGGGAAAGTGGGCAAGGGTGTCCGAACCATTCCGAGAGAAGCAAACCTGTTCGAGGGGCACATCACAAGCATACAAGACCCTCAGCTACTGCGGTGGCTCCATCGACTGCCGGTCATGACCCCACAAAAACAAGTCCATGTTGGCTAAGGGCTCGAATTCGGGCGTGAAAGCAAACATGGGAGAACTGGAGCGTGGCGTTGCGCACATCATGCAGCAAGACTGTTGAGGATGCAGCCGAAGCAGGGGAGCAGCCGCGGCTCCTCGTCTCGCTGAAATCTGCGTGTGCCTGAGCTTGTGAGATGCCATTCTCGGAGTCTCAGCAACCGCCGCAGTGTCGAGAAAACAGAACCGCAGCAAGGGTGCCGCCACCTTGCCAGGGCGGGTAATCACGTATCGTAGGTATTGACATGTCGCTTAAGAAATCACTCCACCAGCCAGTGCTAGCGAGAGACCTCGCTGGTCGAGGTCAGCACATTGAAGCTGCTCTGCGAGCATGAGCATGCCAGGCTGGAGTAGGGAGGAAGATGGAGGAAGCGCTTCCAAAGACTTTTCTGCAGAATTCTGTGGAAGGTGCGACAAGGTGAGCAACATGCTGGCGGAATGTCGGTCAGCGTGACCCGTCGAGCTTTCCTTTGTGCAGAAGTTGGTGTCGACACTCACACTGGCAACAACAGACAGGTGCATGCAGTCTCGCACCATTGTGCTGGAGCAGATATGTAGTGCAAAGCAAATCTGACGCTGGCCCATTAGCAAATGTAGCACGCACATTCGGATTGGATCAAGGCAAATATCGGCTCCCGCACCCACCCCAGCTCCCTTATCCGCCTGGCAGGTACTACAAAGAGCTCAGGTGGTTGAGGGAACAGCCGCTTTGCTTTGACTGACAGTAGCAAATCTAAATTCAGACCTTTGGGAACTTGAATTCCAGATTTGGTGCCTTTTGCACCATTTTGGAGCCGAACTGCGAGAACAACATCTTAAGCCCTAAAGTTGCTATGCATTGAACTGTTACTGGTAAGTACTTCGGTGTTAAGATTTAGTGTTGAAGCTGCAGTGTTCGAGCATGGCGTTACAGTGAGTGAACAGTGGTTGTTGGGTTTAGGTTTCCCATGGAGTAACATTTTAAAACATAAAAACTGTAGGGCTTAAGATGTTTTTTTTCTCGCAGTTTCCAGTGTTTGCTCGGCTCCAACATGGTGCAAAAGGGTCTTGTTTCCCCAAATCCCTACCCTAAAGTACGCTCTATAAACCCTGAGCTCCAAGCCCTACACCCAGCTCTTTGCTCCATTGGGCGAGGCTCTACCTCGCTTATGAAAGCGAGGAAGATGCAGCAGCTCGCCGGAACCTCCTGACCCCCGACGACTTCGAGGCCGTGAGAGCGAGTGTAGCTCTCCTGGAATCAGGATGCTACGACTTTTAGGTTGTACAATAGGTTCTCTTGTTTTCCGAAAGCTCCCTTTGAAGTAGTTAGCTTGGAAGGTCTACTGGTTTGAGCCGGAGAAGTTCCTCGATGAGGATACGAGGCCATTGCCTCGAATGTGTGACTCATGACAATGCATGATTCACCTAATCTCTGCTTTGCTGCGCAGGGACTTCCTCATACGATGCGTCCGTGAGACGAACAGGCGGCTGCTGGACGAGTGCCTTGGTGCAGACAAAGCCGCAGCTGAGCGCATGGCGCATCACTGTGCTGGCTGCTGCCTTCTGCCGCTCCTGAGGAACCGCCAACTGAAGTCCACGCTTCAGGATTGCATGGCACCATGCGTTTTAGAAGCATCTCGTCACACGCTTCCAGTCTGAAGCACTCGGCGGGTCGTGCTGGGAAACTGTTCCCTGAGTGCATCCAGGAGATGAACCTCTTTGAGAAAGCTTCTTTGCCGACGGTCTTGAAGAGGCTGAAGCTGAAGCATGCTGCCGCGCAGATCATGGTCGAGCTCTATAATTTGCTCCGGACCAGAGCCGAAATGAAAAAGTTTAAGGAAGCGGCCTGTGATCTGATTGGCATGGCTATGCCTCCGGTGGTGGAGCCCCAGCCGGCGGCGACAGCGGCAGTCACCGAGGCAGGAAGTCAAGAGGACAGCGCCGCGACTGGACCCGGGCTCACGGGAGCCTCTGTGGATGCAGCTGGTCTTGCTGAGCTGGCGGATCTCCGCATCCAGGCGCAGCAGCAAGAGGCCGGCCCGAAAGCTCGTTCCTGCAAGAATTTATATCGCACATCTGCACATCTGAAAATCAACGTGTGGCTCACGGAATTCCGAGGCCGAGCTCCTGGAGCTTCGTTCGAAGCTTTCTGCGGCGATCGACGCTCGCTTGGAGCAGGAGAAGGCCCAGCGGGCGGCGGAGGAGCGCGACCGGGCCGAGGAGCGCGCGGGGCAACTCCAGCGCCGCGTCTCGGAGCTCGAGAGGGAGAGGGAGGCCTTGGCCTTGGAGCTCCGCGAGACCCGGGAGTTAGAGCCGGAGCTGGAGCGAATGAGAAGCCGCATGGTTCGCAGCGTACACAAGATCAGTGAGAGCTTGCAGACACTGGGACCCGGAGACGACGAGGCAAGGAATGCGCGGAGGGCGCTGTCGATGGACCTGTGGGATTGGGAGCAGGACGAAACGGATAGCGTTGCGGGCTCCTTCAGGGCCGCACTCTCCAGGTTGGACTCCTTGGTCATCGCTCTTCCTTCTACTGTGCAAGACGTTGCCGTAGAGATGCAGCAGCTGAAGCAGCGCTGTGATGAGCTGGAAACCAACTCCATGGCTCCAACAGCTGATCCGGAGGAGCAGGGAAGTGCAAGCACTTAGCTTCAACGACGTGACTTGCCTTATCCTCCCTCGCAGTCGATGCCGCTCCTTCCATTCGTGCAGGAGCCGCTGTCCTTGGAGCCGGAGCACAGCCCTGCGGCCAGCGGCACTGGCACCCATCGGACGCGACCAGACTCCGGGAGGACAAGCCACATGCATGAGAAGTGCGGAGACAGTTGAAAGTTACATTATAGTTATACATGATAGTACTGTGGGCATGTGACACATGTGCGATATTTGCACTTTCGGGACATCAGCAGATGGCGAGAGTGCTTCAAGCTGCTCATGACTCTCCTCTGCTCGAGGACGGAGGCCCTCCTGGCGGCCGCAGCATTTTCCTCTGCGGGGACCGAGGTCACCGACTTGCGGGAAAGTCCCTGCCCATCGAGTCCCGCCAGTCCGTTGAGTTCGACTGGCGGGAGACGCCCACAGAAGTCCTGTGAGATCGAGCCCTCAGAACTGTCGGATCAGGAGGGGCTGCCGTGTTGGGGCATACCAGTTTTGCTGGCTTCAGATTTCGAAGGCATCCTGTTTTCCTTGGTCCTCTGTGGAGGTCCGCGATCTGGCGACGAAGTTGGATCTTGCCAACGAGAAGATCCGGCAGCTCAAGGTCGGATGCTCAGTGCCCCTCTCACTGAGACGAGTGAGTGTCCTAAGGTCCTATAGGGACTAGACTCCGGAGCTTAAGGGAGGGGGGGGGAAAGGGCCGCCCTCGCAGGAGCAGCTGCTGAAGCTCAGACAGAAGCATGGGTTACCGGAAGAGGGCCTTCTTGGCCTCCCTCCTGAACTCTGGGGCGTGCGGTGTTTCGCAGCGTCGCTGTTTGCAGCCCTTGGCCTCAGGTGAGAAGGGCTTTGAAGAGGTGCCCGACTTCTTGCTTCCCTACCAGATGCTGGCCAAAAGGAAGTTGCCAAGATGGCAGATCCTGAGCCAGGTGGGACCGCTCTGGCGCTTGTGGTGGCCAGCACCGGTCATGCCACAAAGTAGCGAATGCATAGATTTTCGCGCTGAGGTGCTTTAGTGAAACATCGCCTGGCACAAAACACCACTGCACGGTTCCTGTATTTGTCACAGACCCGAGACCCGAGAGTATGAATTCCTCAGATACATTCATCATGTGGCTTCCTGCAGAATCAGGGGTACACCAAGCCCCATAACCCTGCCCCCCCCCCCCCCCCGCCAGTCCTTCTCTGAAAAAGCTCGAGGACGCCGATCTAAAGCGAAAGAAACGGGAGTACCTCGAGAAGGCTGAGAACAGGACCGTCGGGAAGGAGGTGGGCATTGCCAACCTCCTGCAATGTGAAGCTTCTCAGCTGGTTTTCTGACAGGTCTTTGCGGCCTTCGACTTCCTGGTTACTGCCGCAGCTGCGATGCCCTCATGCACTTTTGTCGCCTTCTCTGAGCTTCTGTACTTTTCCCAAGCTCAGCATTCCTGTTTTGCTCGGTGAGCCCCGAGGCGCAGCCACCCGCACCGCAGACAGGCTCGCGACTGCCATCACCATCGCACGATCCTCAGGTATAGAAGAATCACCGGCGGCGCCACAGAACCTCCAAGCCCGCCGCAGAGCTTTGGAGAAGCCCAAGAAGAACCTCCCAAGGCCCGCTGTCCGTCGCTTTTCGGCTTTGGAGCAGCTGAATACCAACAAGGCGGGTGCACTCGCAGCTGTCGCAGCTTGTGCCTTCAAAGCTCAGAGTTCCTACTGGTTAGAAGGTCGCGGTCGGCTCCAGACTGCAAAGTCCGCCCCGACAGAGCCTCGGCGTCCACAGCACCCCGAGACTCCGCGTGGACCGGCCATCCCGGTCCGCCTCCGCCTCCCCAGAGAGGAGTCTGCAAGAGCCATGGCGGAACCAGCCCTGGCCGAGTGCCACCGTCCCTTGCAGCGACCCTCCAGATTTTCAAGGCTATGCTGCCGGATGCGTGCAGGGCAACGCAATTTTCAGTGCCGCGAAGGTGGCCGGTTTCACATCTCCCAAGGAGAGCAGCCAACTTCAGCAACTTCGGAACGCACCGAAAGGTACAGGTGCCTTTCTCATGGATTCCCCTGCAACACCTCACTTTCCACCCACTGGAGCCAAAACAGACACCAACTTCTACCGCGCCCGTCCGACAAGCAAAGATGCCAGACACACAACAAGTGCCGACGACAGGCGCCCCGACAGGCGCCATAGTTATGTTCCCAGCACACGATGGTCCACAAGAGACACTCAGACTCGTCCTGACGTGGTGCAGCCAAGCATTTCACTTCCTCGCCTACACGGTCGAGTGACGACAAGCTTGACGCACAAGTCCCAGACCTGGACATCCCTCAAAGACGACCGGGCCTTACTGCCGGCGAATCGAAACTCCAGTTGCTTCGAAGTGCCATCAGGATGCACTCAGTTCAGAATCGGCCATAGGGCATAGGCATGCTCAGGTCTGGCTCGATATGGCAGGACTCCGTTCGGCGGCATCCTTCGAGTCCTATCCCGCCTCAGATCCCTTCGAAGCACCAGGTTTAGTGCACCGTGTGCCAGGAGAGCGCCTTGCCAATACCCGGCGATCGAGTTCGAGGTTTGACAGCTGCTCCTAGAGAATGAAGTCAAAGACTGTCCACTGGCCACAGGTCAAGCCCTACAGATGGCCTGCAGGTGGTTGCCCCTTCGCGGGGCTTCCTGCCAGGAAGTGCTCGGTTCCCACCAGGCTGGCCAGACGTACATGTACAGTCGTGCACATATTATATATATATACACACACACACACACACGCACTCTCTGTCTCTCTCTCTCTCTCTCTCTCTCTCTCTCTCTCTCTGTATGCATGCATGCATGCATGCATGTATGTATGTATGTATGTATGTAGGTCTATTGACTGACTAATCTGTTAAATTTGTTTATATATATATATAGTGGCATACTGCTCACTTCGGTTTGTTACCCTTGCTTTCCAGGATGATGCCGTAGAGTACGTATGAGAAGATGTGCTTCCCAGTGCTCTTGTGTCGTGCCAGATGACACATTCTGCCGAAGCCATGCGCCCATGGTAGCTTCCGGAGGCGCTGTCAAAACACTACCGCTGCGGAGCGGCTTCTGATTTGATGTCCACGGCTCTCAGTTATATTAAGCAGTTGAAGTTTATTCCGTCTACACTGTCTACACGTTGCTCTAAACATTGCATCATGACCACTGCATGGTCGCTTCGGTTCCTGCGTCATCCGTCAGCCTTGCACAGCGTTGTTCTTTTTGTGTGGTTGCTCCTTGCTTGCAAGCTCTGTTCTTGAAGATTGTAAGATAAGACTTTGGCATCATTAAATTTGTCCTTTTTTTAGTGGGCATGCTAGGACTTACGGTCTCGGGCTTGGTTTGCAGCAGCTGTGGGTTTGAACCATCCGATAAAGCAAGTCCTTCATGGTCGTTTGGGTGCACAAAGCGAGAGCTCTGTTTTTTTTTTGCGTCTTGCGATGCGGCAAGCAGACCTTCCCACCTTCAGTGGCAGGGAAGCTCATAGAAGTGTTTAAAGTCATAGCCACAGCCACCTCACCCCGACCCGGTACTCAAAGAGTCCGAGCGCGGCACAAGTCCGGCGAAGTTCCCGACTCTTTCGCTAATGTGCCAGCAGGTGCCTCCAATAGAAGATCGCAAAACCAAGGAAGTTCAGATGTTTTGTTTACATGGAATGCAATGCCCGGAAGCACCTGCTGTCTCCACTCCTGACATCCCACCAGGAGGCTGAGATGCATTTGCAGGCCCACCATCTTTTGAATCCGCGAGAAAAAAGGAGCCTTGCGAGCCCAGGGAGGCCTTGGGCCCTTTGGACTTCCCATTTCGAGGCCGCCCTGGAGGTCATCAAGAACTCCAAGCCTTCCTTTGATGTGAAGATCTGCTGCAATGCCCGAAGCTCAAAGCTGCTCTTAAACCCTTCATTCTCCATCGGAAATGCGTCTGTGGCTTGCGCAGTGGCCCCCCTGCAACAGAAGTATTCAAGAGCCCTGGTTGGTGCAGGATCCAGAAGCCGCAGTCAGACCTCCCTTGGCCAAATCTCCTCCTTTGAGATTGACGCTTGATGCTGCAATGCCCTGGTCTAGCTGAGCCACCGAGACAACTGCGTTTACTTGTTGGGTTCTCTGCTTCTAGAGTCTAGATTCTAGAGTGTACTAGACAAGCAGACAATTGGCCTCATTCATGCTTCGCAGACAGAACCAGGCACCCCACCCACAGCAAGTCCAGCGGCAGATGTCAGCCTCCGACCCTCCACGAGAACCGACACCCCGCACATCACAACGAAGCCTCTGAAAGGTCCTTCTGCGACGCCTCGGAGAGGAGGCCAAGGCGGGTGCGCCATGGCCCCAGGAATTTGCTCATGTCATGTCCCTGGTTGTTGGTTTCCGGGCTTGCTGGTATGGCATCGGAATATGATAAGGAACCCAAAACATGTAGCTTGCTTAGGGACTACGTATAGAAACCATGATAAGGACTGTCACTTCGTCACCCTGCCCATGAGTTCGCAGCTTCCTGCACAACAGCGCCAGGGTTCTTGCGCCGCTCCCCGCATTGACACCCGTCAACCCAATGCCGAGGGCAAGAACAGAACAAAGACGTAGCAATGGCAGAATCCTACGGCATTAGCCGTCTTGGTCGTGGTCATATCGTACGTAACGAATGCAATGAAAGAGTCGCAGCGTCTCAGGCCGCCGCCCGGCCAGGCACGCGGCCTGTTGAGCTGACTTGCATCTTTGCAATAGATTTTCTCAGATATCTTGAGGCGTCTGCAGGTTGGAGCAAGCCTCGGAAATTCTTTTTCATGGAAGTAGATGGTTCAGAAAAACCCTTAAAAGGACTGGGCCACCACCGGGAACCATGGGCCCTGGTCCCATGGGCCCTCCCGGCGGTCCACCTTCGATGGGCATGGGCCCAGGCCCAGGCCCAGGCCCAGGCCCAGGCCCAGGCCCGGGCCCTGGAATGGGCCCCCCTGGAATGGGCCCGCCGGGAATGGGCCCTCCCGGCATGGGTGCGCCCATGGGGTCGGGAGCCAAGTTGCTTCCAGAACGTCGTCTCAGCCGCTTCGCCAACCTGAAAGGATGGGAATGTCTGGGCAGCAGGTCATGCAAACGCAGGCCTCTGACTGCCACAGTGGGAACCGTGGCCTTCCGCTGCCGTCACATCCGAAGGTTCAATGGCAGAAGGGTTCCATGCCACCCGGGCCTGGTCCTGAAACTGCCTTGACCTTTCCGAAAGCATTGGATCGCTGTGATCCTGTCTCCCTCTCTCAGGCAGATGCCGTTCGGCGCGGTCCACAGCTAGACTCAGCTGGACAGCAGCTTGGCTCTTTCCCTCCTCTGAGGCGGCGGGCCCGGACCCGGGCCGAAGGGAATGCCTGGCAAGGGTCCCATGCCAGGCTCCGCAAGTTTGGGGAACATTGCAACATTTCAGACAGAGCCCCTTTCGGAAGGCAAAGGAATGCCACCAGGTCCCGGGCCGAAGGGAATGCCTGGCAAGGGCGCCAAAGGCTACGGGAAGATGTAGGACCGGGTCCTCTGAAACGCTTCGTATGCCGACGACTCCGAGATTCGTGGTTGAGCAGGACTCCCCCTGCAGAGTTGTGCTTTGGCCAAAACGTGGCCAGAACTATGGCTCTGATCTCTGATAATGCTTGTCTGGGCAGTAGAGTTGCTTGTCCAGAGCTTTCAGCGCTCGCAGAAGTGGCGCTGACTGGACCCGTCTGCTCTTTGCATGGTGGACTCACAAGATGACGAGCTGAGCCCGACACCTCCTCTGACTGTTTGCAAGCTCAGCAGCCCCGATAGACTCCACCATGCTTAGCCGGGACCTGTGCTTCATCGATTTTTTTCGGGCCGCCGAACGAAAAAACTGAGCTGCCAAACTGAGCTGCAGAACTAGCTCATAGGAAGGAGCAGGAGCGACTCCGCCCGGTGTGCTTGCAGCCATTTGGCTTTGGAGACAGAGGCATTTGGGGTCCTGTCCTCTGCACTCTGCAGTTCGGGAACAGGAGCTTCCCCGACCAGGGCGTTTGAACAATTTTTTGTGTTTTGGATGCCGCAGCAGCCGACTTTGTACACATCCATGGCTTCAGGCATCTGGGAGCCTCGCAGTACGTAGGACGTAGCCGAGACAGCGCGCCCCTGGTCAGGCACCGCATCTCCTGGCCTTCCAGTTCCTCCAGTTCCCCGGGCCCTCGACCCAAATTTGGAACAATTCATTCGCCAAGGGTTCTTGGTTCTTCCACCAGCCGGCAGTCCGCAGCTACATGGCAGCATCTACTCGAAAGCTTGGGCCATCAACGCGAAGGGCCCTGAGGAGACCTGGAAGCTAGCAGATGCCACCCGACTGAATGCACAGATGAACTGGCCTCCCCGAGTTCCCACCGACAGCGTCGCGGTTCAGGGCCGTCTAGCAGTCGGATAGGAGCAGTCGGATAGGGATAGGTCACGTCAAAGGAATTGTTCAGGACCCCGCCCCCCCTTTAGTGGTGTCGTGTGCGGGTATCGTTAAGTTCGTCTTCAGACTTTGAGAAGAGTCTCATGTGTCGGTGCCCTGAGGGTGTCCTTGGAGCCATCCCGGAGCTCCATCAAGTGCTGGAAGTGCCGCATGTCCGCCAGGCATTGACCAGCATCTTGGGCGAAGGATACATGCTACACGGGCATAGGCACCTACACGTCAGCTCCGAGAACAACCAAATGTGGCACAAGGACTCCTACTGGGGCTTCCGTAAAGTCCGGAAACACCGGCCGCGCTGGCTAATGATGCTCTACTACCCGCAGGATACTGTCATTGCCATGGGACCGACTTGTATCATGGCTGGGTCGCAATACTGGACCAAGAACACGGAACATAGCGAGTGTGGAGAAGACATTCTGCTGCCAGACTCGGGTGTTCAGAGCATGTTCCTTCCTGGAAGCCCGTCATCGCAAGCCCGCTGCCTCCGCGAAGCAACGGCAAACTACTTGAGGCAGGATGCAAACCTAGTGCAGGAGCTGGAACTTACCGTTTCGGCGAGCACCTGTGTCTTGATGCATTACGACCTCTTCCACAGAGCCAGTTCTCGCAAGGGAAGCACAGCACCCGAGCGCTTTTTGGTCAAGTTCCAGTTCCTGAGGACCTGCTTAGCTTGCATCTTTGGCCTTGTTAAGAGTGACACGCCTTACACTGGGGAGACCAACAGGAGCGGGGGGGGGGGGTGATGTTGCGTCGAGTTGTTCTCTACTTGTCGTTCTGTGCAGGACCACTGAGCCGTGCCCGGCCTCGACCCAGGCGGTCCTCCCTAGCCCTTTGGGAGTCCTCCCGAGCCCTCCGTCAGCGCCCGTGCAGCTGGAGGCGATCCTTGAGGACCTGCGCACTTGGTACTGTGGAATCCAAACAGAACGGCAGGGAGTCTCCCTGCTCTCCGAGCGAGCAAAAGATGCTGAGATCCTCTGTGGAGACTACGGTGAGGCGGAGAAGGTGGCAGCGGCTTATCGCCTTGGCCGTGTGGGTGCCCGGCAGCTGCTCGCTCGGGCTCTCACCGCAGACGAGGGCACTGCGAGAGCCGCTGCTTACGGGCTCACGACTGCTGGCCCAAGCGCGGCAAGCGCCGTGCTGCCGCTTTTGAGCAACGCCTCGAATCGTGCACGGCGCCTTGCTGCTTTTGTCGTGGGGGAGACTGCAAGACCCGACGCGTCCACCATCGCAACGCTGGGACAAGCCCTTCGCTCTTCGGACTCTAACAAAGAAGCCCAGTGTGAACTCTTGGAGGCACGAAGAATCAAGAGCCGATTCTGACATGATGCGATGGCATTATGACAGGATTTCTAGTTCCTGCTTCTGATGCCGGGGGCCTCTACTGTAACTGTAACTATTTCCATGACAGGCAATAGGATTGGTGGGCGCTCGAGCTCGTTCTCTTGGACAAGATGATTTGTGCAATTCATGCATGCAGGAAGTATGCACCTCAGATTGGCCGCCAGAGAGAGAGAGAGAGAGAGAGAGAGCATTTTCTTCCATGGCACATGTGAGGTTCTTCCATATCTAGAGCAATCCGGAGCTACTTGGGCAAAGACTCAAACCGGCGAATGTGTGTCCTGACGGCAAGCCGTGAGCATTGCAAGCCCGCTTCCTCAAAGCCAGTCAGAGCTCATTTAGGGTTTAGGGTTCAGGTTTCAGGAATCCTAGTCCCTAAACCCTAAAACCCTAAACCCCACAACCCTAAACCCTACAACCCTAAAGCCCTAAACCCTACACCCTAAAACCCTAAACCGTTTAGGCGGCCTATGCCATTTTGCTGGCGGCGGGGCTGAAGGGCCAGGTGCCACCGCAAGTCCTCGCCAAGCCGGGGCCCCATGGGGGCGGGCGCTGCCCGAGCATTCCAAGCGAACCTGTTGCCTATCCTCGTCTACTTAGATAGATACGCAGCTTCACTTAATTCGCCATATATATATATACAGATATACACACATATAGTATGTATAGTATAGTATAGTATAGTATAGTACAGTACAGTATAGTATAGTATAGGGTTGTGTGTGTGTAAGCAATCGTGCCTGTGGTACGACCGTG